TGTAAGTCACTTTCTTAACTGGATAACTAACTATAAAATACCGGATTATAATATATGAATACTGTGTGTTGATTTTAGACTTTGCATTATGGGGTTGTGAAGATTGTTAAGTTACACAATTTGAAACCATGAATCGATCAGTATGCAGGAGTCGTGGATGCGCACTGCTGATGAGTCATCCCATACCAGGACGAAACGGCCGTCCAGTGCTCCTACCAGATTTCTAATGGTGGACTAACATTGATCGATTCATGGTTTCAAAGATTTTAGACTTCTCAAGAGTAACTTTACATGAGATAAGATTTTTGGAATATTAATTCTAATCCAGCTCATACTTTTACTTGGTAGTTGGTAGTCATTCAAGTCATTAATGTCGGAATGACTTTCAATGTGATTGAACTTTATCATCATTTGCTATCTTTCATCAGAACGTTCGTTAATATTCTCAGTACAGAAACATGATTTTCTTGTTTCAAAATGTTGTTAATTTCCAATGGAAACTTAGTTTGAATTGAGCAGTCCTTATACATCCTACTTCCATAGACTCTGAACTTCGCGATCGACAGGCTGGATTCCATAAAAATCGATCGTGTACCGACCAAATAGCAACATGACGGATCGTTGTGAAACAAGTAATTGAATGGAATTCACCTGCAGACATCAACTGCATCGACTATGAGAAAGCATTTGACAGAGCCGACTGGATGGCAGTATGGAGGCTTCAACACTGTGGCGTTTCTGAGAAGATAGTCAACATCATGGATTAAACTGCGAAATCGTACGTGGCGGACAGCTCACAGACTCGTTCTGATCCTTTGGCCAGACGCCATCATCAACAAGCTTCTATGGGAGAGAACTAATCAGCTTCCAAATGAGTAAGAAATCAATCATAAGTATTGGCTGTGAATAGTGCACACATTGAGGAAACCACCCAACTGCAACACGAGACAAGCCGTCACCTAAAATCCTCAAGGACATAGGAAAAGAGGAAGGCCAAGGAACGCATTATATTGAGAATTGGAGAGAGAGACAAGGGAAGAATGAACAACTATTAGACAGAACCTGAATGTCGTTTTTACTAAAGCAGCTGTCAAATGTGATTATTTCGGTAGAACGTCGTCGTTTTTCTGAATTTCGTTCATCATAATATAAAACAACTAAAACCTTTTGTTGATTTCTAATAACTCTAATCGTGAATGGTTAACAATGAACCAGTGATAAGGAGTGTAGTAGTCGAAAGTGTAGACCACTTCACTTATCTGGGGAGTCTCATCAGTGATGATGGCCTGGTGACTGACGAAATCTCAACACAGCAGATACAGAAGACTCGATTGGATTTTGCCAACCTGCGTCACTTATGGCATAGGCGAGATATCCGTTCGCAGACTAAAGGACGAGTGTACTGCGCAGTAGTTTGCTCCGTCTTACTTTATGCCTGTGAAACATGGCCAGTGAGAGTAGAAGATATTCGTATGTTACTAGTTCTTGATCATCGGTGTCTTCGTAACATTGATCCCGACCGTAGCTGCTACCTTGACGTGGTGGTCGGGCTTGCCTATCGTCATGACCCAACCGAGCTATACTGGCTGGAACTTATGTTCCTGAAGGTTCTACCATGCAAGGCAGGTCGATTGGAGAACGATGAGACTAAAAGCAGCTACCCAATATCTGAGGGCGAAGTCGTACTGGTGACTGACTGTGGAGGGTGAGTCATAGGGCTGAACAATCTCTCTTTGACTGGATCCCAGTCGATAGTCGCTTGTGCGCTGTCCGACTAAACGGGACAGTAAGGACTCGGAAAGATAGGGACACTTGCGTTTGCCTCTTCGTTGTATCTGCCTATGCCCCCACTGACTGCAGTTCAGACGAGGTTAAAGATGAGTTTTACAGAAAGCTTTCTGACCTCCTCCAAAAAGCTAGGCGCTCTGAGGTAGTAATAATGGCTGGTGACTTTAATGCTCAAGTAGGTAGACTGAGTGAAAATGAAAGACACCTAGGTGGATGTTATGGTGTCGCGGCTCAGAGAACAGATAATGGCGACCGTCTGTTGCAACTATGCTCAGATAACCGCCTATTCTTAGTAAACACTAACTTTAGGCATAAGGAAAAGCATCTGTTGACCTGCCGACCTCCAAAGTCTTCTCAGCGTTGGACTCAACTAGATCACATCGCTATCATCCACCGATGGAGTGGTTCGAAAGAGGACTAATGCTCGTTCTGGGGCACATATTTAGATTCAGATCATGTCCTAGTGCGAGCGCGTATTTGTTGGAGGCTTACTGGGCGTAGGAAAGACACCGTAAGAAAGCCTCTTAGGGTCTTACTTAATGATAATCAAACTAAGAAAATATTTCAGGAGCAACTAGAAACAGAGTTAAGCAACCATGTAAGCGATTCCCATCAGGAGGCAGGATGGAATGATATCAAAAAAGCTGTGGAAACAGCAGTGATATCTGCTAGTAAGGTTGACCATAATGCTAGAATGAAGCCGTGGATCTCAGTAGCATCCACCGATCTGATGGATACCCGAAAACTCATCCCACCTGGCTCTGAACATTATGAAGAACGAAGTCAACTTAGGCGCAGACTTATAAAAAGCCTGCGTAACAATCGCGAACAGTGGTGGGTGGCGAAAGCAAAAGCGATGGAAAAGGCAGCGGCGATCGGCAACAGTAGACAACTTTTCCGACTTATCAAGGAAACTGGTTTTAGGAATCCTAGTGTAAGACTATCTCAGAAAATGACGGGACTATCATTTATTCTCAACCCAGGAGACTGGATCGATGGGCAGAACACTTAAGGGATCAGTTCAACTGGCCTCGAACCACCCTTCGGTTACCCACGATCTCCAGTCATCCTGAATGGCAAATCGAAGTAAGCCCCCCTAGTCTTTATGAAGTTGAGAAAGCGTTAGAAAATCTGAAGCGAGGTCGAGCTGCAGGTCCTGATAGACTGACCCCTGAGATATTTAAGGATGGTGGTCCAATTTTAGCAGCTAGGTTGACTGAGATCTTAGGTAGAATCTGCTAACTGGACACCATCCCATCCGACTGGTCTCAATCACTGATTATCCCAATCTATAAGAAAAGACAGAAGTCTTCTTGTGACAATCACAGAGGAATAAGTCTAAATAATATAGTATCTAAAATATCGGCCTCAATAATACTTCGACGCTTAACGAAAGCTCGTGAAGAGCAAACTCGAGAAAACCAGGCTGGTTTTCGACCTGGACGTGGTTGTATAGACCACATTTTCACATTACGACAGGTCCTGGAACACAGACACACTTCTAGGCGTCCTACAATAGTTGTTTTTCTGAACCTTAAGGCGGCATTCGACTCAGTGAATCGTGAGGTTCTGTGGCAGTGTCTATCATTGAAAGGTGTACCAAAGAAGTACATTAACCTCATACAAGCTCTCTACTCAAACACCACTGGTCGAGTGAGAGCTTATGGCGAACTGTCACCGGAATTCTCTACTTCAAGTGGTGTCCGTCAGGGATGTCCACTTTCTCCATTCTTGTTTAATTTTATCATAGACATGCTCCTAGAAACAACTTAATCCTCGTCTGAATTTTCAGGAGTAGACCTTCTACCAGGTGGCTCACTTATTGGCTTAGAATATGCCGATGACATAGTCTTACTTGGTGAAGATGCTGACAAAATGCAGAGTCTTCTCACAACCCTAGGCAACAATGCAAGTATGTTCGGGATGCGGTTCTCACCCTCGAAATGCAAAATGTTGCTTAAAGATTGGGTTGCATCGGCACCTGAACTAGTGATAGGGAGTAAAGTAGTCGAGCGTGTTGACCGCTTCACTTATCTTCGGAGTCTCATCAGTGATGATGGCCTGGTGACTGACGAAATCTCAACACAGCGGATACAGAAGACTCGATTGGATTTTGCCAACCTGCGTCACTTATGGCATAGGCGAGATATCCGTTCGCAGACTAAAGGACGAGTGTACTGCGCAGTAGTTTGCTCCGTCTTACTTTATGGCCAATGAGAGTAGAAGATATTCGTCGGTTATCGGTTTTCGATCATCGGTGTCTTCGAAACATTGCTCGTATATCGTGGGACACCTGAGTGAGCAACGCTGTTATTAGGAAAAGGGTACTAGGTAAGAATGGCAGATCAATAGATGAAGTAATGAAACTTCATCAGTTGAGGTGGTTGGGACATGTGCTGCGTATATTGAACCACCGACTGCCTCGGCAAGCTTTGTTTTGAAGTATGGGAATAGGTTGGAAGAAAGTTAGGGACGGCCAAACAAAAACATGGCAGCAATCCATGAAGTCACTGAAAACTGGACTTAGCCATGTCGGTAAATGTTGACTACCTGGTTGGGGTCCACGAGATGATAATAATCGATGGTTAGAGACTCCGAATGACATGGTTCAAAATCGTTCGCAATGGCGCCGGTTCATTTATTCTTTGTGTTCTCTCAAATCCTAATCTTCTGGATTATTCAACACCTCTAGTTTCGACTGTCTAAACTTTTCTCATTGAATCAAACTTCTTGAATAGTATCTGCTAACCCTAACCCCTCCGATTACTTCTAATTCCCTTACTACCTCTTCTACTATTTGATTTGAATTGACAATTATATCTCTGTGTGCTGATGTGGTATGGCAACATGAACTGATGTACTTACGTACCAAGTTCTACGTTGCATCTGACTGACTGCTATTGATTGATTGATTGACTGATTTCGGTAGAACAACGTCGTCGTCGTTGTTTTCAATTTCATGCATCATTATATATACAACAATCATAACTAATCATTCATGGTTAACATTGGATGCGCTTCACTTATTCTCCTATTGATCACTTCATTTAAAATCAACTGATTTTATGTCAGCCACAAAAACAGCTGAGATAATGAGACAAAAAATAAAATAAAAAATAAAATGTTGCCTCATTTCAACTGATTATCTGCTTTTTTTTCCTTCTCATTCTTTCCCCTTTTATTGAGAGATACAATTCATCAATGTGTGTGTGCGTATGTATAGATTAGAATAGAATAAAAATGGTTGTTCATTTAATCACAAAATTCAAAATTCAAATCAACCTGCCATTATTATTATCTACATCATATATTCTATCTTGTCTTGTTGGTTGGTTGGTTGATTGGTTGGTTTAAATAGTTTCACATTTGTCTTTTATTCAACTAGTAAGTAGTATCGTTGTTGTTTAATAAATACAGTTATAAATGAAATCAATCGTGAAAATCAAAATTAAATAATAATAGAGATTAATGTTTAGTGGTTTTTAACGAATTATTATTCACACTGCCACGACGTAATGAACCAGCACTTAATGGACGAATTGTCAAATTGTTATGGCTATTGTTATTGTTATTGATATTTGAATGAATAGGATTCACATGTATAATAGATGAACGTTGTATACTTGATACAGGTGTACTACCTGATGAAGATATAATCATGGAAGTTTTATTTCTTTGTTGTATAGAACATATAGAACGTTTACTTGTAGGTGGTTGTGATTTTGGTGAACGATTCTTTTTCAATAGTTTTGTTACATGCTTTTAATGAAAATGAGATCAGGAGAAAAAAAAAAGATAGAATTGTTAGTGAATTATTTTCATAGCTATAATTGTAGTTATGTCATAATAATTAACCAATCAAATTGTAGTTTAAGCGACTATCCATCCATCCATCACGTGATCTGATCTGATGTGTGTGTCTGTAAACTTTCTTCTATTTGTAAATGACCTACTAATTGAAGGACATTATTGTTGATGTGAGTCATAATTTTATTCATTTCCATAAGACACGTCTCGACCGTAGCTGCTACCTTGACATGGTGGTCGGGCTTGTCTATCGTGATGACCCAACCGAGCTATACTGGCTAGAACGCATGTTCCTGAAGGTTCTACCATGCCAGTCAGGTCGATTGGAGAACAATGAGACTAAAAGCAGCTACTCAAGGTCTGTGGGCGAAGTCGTACTGCTGACTGACTACACAGGGGTGTGACAGCAGTAAAGTGTTTCCCTCGGACAACCAGCATCTGCAGCGATGCTGTCTTCGCACAAGGAAGGAAGGGTTAGAAAAGGTCGACCCTAAAAATGTCACACCTCACCTTACCTCACGGATTTCCGTCTCCTTGGGTAAGGGTGCTCACTAAGGGCCTTTAAGAACGGAGCTAATCCTCAAAATACCTTTCATCGAAAGGCCGTGCGTAACCGGCCTCAAGCAGTTGTCCCTTGGACTCTGCGGTCTCGCTCCCAGGTCTCCAAGACCAACACTAATCTATCTTCCTTTTCAGGTTCCTCAAGAAACAACCTTCCTTGATGTGTGCACCCGGGAGGTGACAACCGCCCTCATACCCATACCCATACCCATAAGACACGCTATATTGGTCTGTAAGTTTGCTCGTCTTACTTGATAACTACCGTAATTTCCTTATTTATTGTACTGATCTAATTTTTTTATGTTTAGAAACAGATCAAGTTTAAAGCAAACATTGATCTTGTTCTGACTACAGCTTTCCCATAGACTCTGTGCTCGCCAATATTGCGTTTACCTTTCTAGATGTACATCTGTAGGACAAATTAAATCCTACAAGAATTATGCATGATGAATGAAATTCATTTCCTATACACTAAATTAAAATTTTTGAATATTGATTCTATCTCACAAGCAACAAAAAATACAAGAGAAGACGACCAGTGTAGCAGCAGCCTCTGCAGCAGTAGGTCTCAACATACATATAACGAAAAGTGAGATTCTACGATACAACACAACATGCGTCAACCGAATCACGCTTGATGCAGATTATTGGAGGACATTGACACCTTTACATATCTTGGCAGCATCTTCGATAACCATGGTGGATCCGATGCAGATGTGAGGACGCGGATTGGCAATGCAAGGGCTGCATTTCTACAGTTGAAAAATATCTGCAACTCCAAACAACTTTCAACCATAACCCAAATCAGGATTTTCAATACAAATGTCAAGGTAGTTCTACTGTATGGAGCGGAAACCTGGAGAACTACCAAAGCCATCATCCAGAAGATACAAGTGTTTATTAACAGTTGTCTACGCAAAATACTTCGGATTCGTTGGCCAGACATGATCAGCAACAACGAACTGTGGGAGAAAACAAACAAGATTCCAGTGGAGGAGGAAATCAGGAAGAAGCGTTCGAAGTGGATAGCACACACACTATGAAAAGCACCCAACTGCGTCACGAGACAAGCCCTTACATGGAACCCTCAAGGTAAAAGCAAAAGAGGAAGGCCAAGGAACACATTGCGCCGAGAAACATAGAAAGATATGAGAGGAATGAACAAACATTGGACAGAACTGGAAAGGGAGGCCCAGGACAGAGTTGGTTGGATAAAACTGGTGAGCGGCCTATGCTCCATTGGGGGTAACAGGCGTTTGCCTTTGATTTTTCTGATCGGTTGATAAATTGGGTCAATGTCGATGTCAATGTTGATTGTTGATTGACTTGAGTGCCAAGCTTTTAGAAGCTACGCGTCAAACGTGGAGAAATTCGAATACTCTTCACTTCAATCTGAAGTTTGTGCTGATGACGATGTTGTCTGGAAGAAAACAATGAAAGCTACACAACCAAAATATCCAGCTCAGAGAACACGAAACTCCACCACAATCAATCACCTGTGCTACAAATTTTCTCCAGCATCTCAAAATCAAATGAGCCGCTACACAGAATGTACTACATACGCCAAATTGAAAATGATCCTAATTACATCTTTAACATCAATAAAAAAGTACGATTCAAACACCTGAAAATAGCAATTAAAGCACTATTCCAAGGCCTTTTATCGACAGCTTTGAGTGAAATGAAAAAAATTGATAACAGAAACATTGCATTCATTACCTTTTGCCAACTGGTTGGAAATGCATTCAGTAGACAAGCTATAGTGATGAGAATAAAACTTGAAATTTGTACTGATGATAAGATTAATATTCGTTTCATCCAAAATAATTCATAAGCTAGAAAAAAAATAATTTAAGACAATATACAAAACATACTACTTAAATTAGTAATAAGAATGCATAAATTAGTTTAAATGCAGTAAAAGACCAGTTAGAAAGTAAGATTCTTTCAAAATTTGAATGATTGTTACTCACACACAAAAAAATAGTAAAACTTGTAGCGACAGACAATGTTAAGAATTATTGTGGTGTGAGCTACTTATAAGTAGTATATGACGCGAGTGTTAACGTAATATCTGGCAGCAGAAGATGGGGCAAGATCAAGAAAGGAAGAGTTAGAAGAAAACAATGGAATTTGTATGAAACGTATGAATAGTGACAATGGATTGATGTTTTGCAACAGGAACAGTCCAGTTCGATATGATGATAGACTGATATTTTGCAAATTAACGATTTACGATATGGTTTTCCTATTTTACTGAGTAACTCTGTAATTTTCGTTAAATACAATTCGGTTGCCTCACCTGTCTTCTCTTTCACTACAGTATGTGTACTCAGGATGAGAAAAAGTCATCTAAGGCTGATCCAAATTGAATTCTGAATATTAACATGAGAAAATAAACGCCAATATAAACAAAAAAATATCATACCCATCAAATAAGTTAATGAATATTTGAACTTGGCCTTTTTAAGCGACAGGTACACAGAGTTCACGTTCTACTCTTAACGTTAATACCAAAGTGACTAAGATTTAAAGTATATTCTGAATTCTGTTGTTAGTCGAAATAAAAATGTGACTATCTATGCTCCTAATATAATTTAAGGAATGATGAAATAACTTAACCATTATAGTCTATTCACCCAAAACAGATAGCTTTCCTCTATATTCTGCTCCATGGCCGTCCAGATGGATCAATCAGACGAAAAGTACATCGCAAACCCACCTGGTCGGGACGGTACCTCCACTTCACTGGTTTCTGCCCCATACAATATATAAACGTTCTGTTGTCAAAACTTTATTCGCTCGAGCAAGTAGAATCTGCACTGCTGCTGATACATTGAACGACGAATTCAAGCTTATTACTGAGACACTTAAATTAAACGGATATCCCGAAACGTTTATTGGTCATCAGAACACAACTACGACGAAACTGATAGTAACTGATGTGCCTGAGAAACCAGTGTACCTACAGTTACCTTTAAAGGGTGATCATTGCATGAAAATTACAACCAAACAGACTGCAGCTGCAATAAAAAAGACCTTCAATGCAGCGAATCTGAGGCTTATCACAACAACTCAATCGATCTCAGTTACCGCAATCAAGTCTCCAAGACCGATTCAGTTCAAATCCCACTGTATTTAACAATTCACATGTAACTGTGGAGAAAGTTACTTGGGTAGGACAGATCGCCGATTGGAGGACAGGATAGGGGACGATATTCCAAAATGGTTAATCAAATCCATGATTCATCAACCTAGCCCATCATTTCAAGATCGATCAAGAAACCCAGCCTCGTCCATTACAAAACATCTAATGATGAGTGGTCATCAAATTGACCCAAAATCAGCCTTTAGAGTTGTGACATGTCATCAAAACCCACACAAACACACCGTCAAACTACTCGAAGCTATCTTGATTGGTCGGAAAAGTCCAATTTTATGTGTTCAAAAACAACTGTATGTTGACCTTTGTTTACCATGGTTCTTGTGAGTGAATGTCATACTGAATAAGAAATTTTGACCTTATCTTCAAAACTGTATTTAAACAAATAACATGTTGCTTGTATGTGACTGACCAGAAAGCACGAAATGGTACTCTCACAAAATATGTCTTCTCATTTCTCTGTTCAAAGATAGCCAAATGTCAAACGAACCGATCTCTAAAGACTAAACCACTCTGTATAACTCTGACTGGATATATTTTAGATCAGGGGTGAAACATTTTGGGTAAGATCAAAGGTTTATAGGTTACTAATAAAGCAAATAAGATCAATCTAGAATGAAAATGAAGGTCACAACATGACCAACAGTGTTTCAATTCTATCGGTTGTATCCAACATGTTCAACTATAAGATATTTATGATCTAAGAATGATTATAATTCTGTCCTGTATATCAATAGCGACAGAGTTTGAATGATGACTAATTTAATGGTATCAGTCAGTCAGTCAGTCAGTTGCAACGTAGAACTTCGTACGTAAGTACATCAGTTCATGTTGCCATACCACATCAGCACACAGAGATGCAATTGTCAATTCAAATCCAATAGTAGTAGAGGTAGTAAAGGTATTAGAAGTAATCGGAGAGGTTAGGATTAGAAGACATTATTCAAGAAGTATGATTCAATGAGAAAAGTTTAGAAAGTCAAAACTAGAGAGGTTGAAAAATCCAGAAGATTAGGATTTGAAATTACACACAGAATAAATGCACCGGCGCCATTGCGGACGATTTTGAGCCATGTCCTTCAAGGTCTCCAACCATCGATTATTATCATCTCGCGGACCCCAACCAGGCAGTCGACAATTACCGACATGGCTCAGTCCACTTGTCAGTGACTTCATGGATATCTGCCATGTTTTGATCTGGCCGCCCCTAACTTGCTCTCAGCCTAAACCTACACCACAAAACGTAGCTCATCGAGGCTGTCCGTGGTTAGCCATACGTAACACATGTCCCAACCACCTCAACTGATGAAGTTTTAATACTTCATCTATTGATCTACCATTCTTACCTAGCACCCGATTCCTAATGACAGCTCACTCAGGTGTCCCAGGATATACGATCAATGCTTCGAAGACACCTATGGTCGAAAACTAGTAACCTACGAATATCTTCTACTCTCACTGTTCATGTTTCACAGCCATAAATTAAGACGGAGCGAACTACTGCGCGCAGTACACTCATCCTTTAGTCAGCAAACGGATAGCTCGCCTATGCCATAAGTGACGCAGGTTGGCAAAAGCCAATCGAGCTTTCTGTATCCGTGCTGAGATTTCGTCAGTCACCAGGCCATCGGCGTTGATGAGACTCCCAGGATAAGTGAAGCGGTCCACACGTTGGACTACTTCACTTCCTAATGGTTTACACAATTTCAATGAAAATATTGGGATTATATGGTTTCCCTTAAATTACACTCAATCAAAAAACCAAGTTAAACAAGAGGACTAAGCAGTCAAAAAAAACAACGTGCAAAGACAGGGGATATACTGAATGAGTGCAATGCTAAAACAACTTACGAATAACCACATGAAGTTGTCAAACTTTCAACTATAACTGCCTGTAGCCTGGGCAACTCAACAGTTTACATCCAACCGAGCCATTACCCTATCAGCAGAGTCTGATTTACCCCTTTACAAAACCATTGCTCACAAGAAAATAATTCTGGATATGAAGGTGAACAATAGCACCGCCATACATAACCAAAAGCACAGTGTCAGTTATTTCCATAACTAATTGTAGTTATGCCATAACTAACCAATCAGATTGTGGTTTAAGCGCCCATCACGTTATCTAGTCTGACCGGTCTGTAAACTTTCTTTGTTGTAAATGACCTATTGATTGAAGGACGTTATTACTTATTTTATATTGATGTGACTCATGTTCTTTATTCATTTTCCAAAGACACGCTATACTGGTCGGTATATTCATTCGTTTCCCTTTATAGCTGTAATTTCCTTATATATTGGACTAATTTAATCATCAGTCAATCATTGTTAGACCACCATTAGAAACCTGGAAGCACTAGACGGACGTTTCGTCCTGGTATGGGACTCATCAGCAGTGCGCATCCACGACTCCTGCTCCTCGCAGAATTCGAACCCGGGGCTTTCGGCATTGTAGGTGAACGCCTCACCATCGGACCACTGGGCCGGTAACCAACGGTGTTAATGTCTAACTCTGATTGATCTAGGGATTTCGCACGAACTCACCCATTATTTGTCTTTGGTAGTTACTGCCTACACCCGACAGGGTCTAACAATGATTGATTGATGATTTCAAATGTGTAAAAACGCAAACCTCCAAAACTCTGCCCCAAACTAATTTAATCGTTTTTTTGTTCAGAAACAGATAAAGTTTAAAAGTAAATTGACTTCCCGACCGAAGCTGCTACCTTGACGTGGTGGTCGGGCTTGCCTATCGTGATGACCCAACCGAGCTATACTGGCTGGAACACGTGTTCCTGCAGGTCCTACCATGCCAGGCAGGTCGATTGGAGAACGATGAGACTAAAAGCAGCTACTCAAGGTCTGAGGGCGAAGTCGTACTGCTGACTGCAGAGGGGTGTGACAGCAGTAAGGTGTTTCCCTCGGACAACCAGCATCTGCAGCGATGCTGCCTTCTCACAAGGAAGGAAGGGTTAGAAAAGGTCGGCCCTAAAAATGTCACACCTCCCCTACCTCACGGATTTCCGTCTCCTTGGGTAAGGGTGCCCACTAAGGGCCTTTAAGAACGGAGCTAATCCTCTAAATACCTCTCATAAAAAGGCCGTGCGTGACCGGCCTCAAGCAGTTGTCCCTTGGACTCTGCGGTCACGCACCAACACTAATCCATCTTCCTTTTCAGGTTCGTCAAGAAACAACCTTCCACGGTGTGGGCAGCCGGGAAGTGATAACCGCCCTCATACCCGCAACAGCACACGAGACAAAATTGTTCAAAATCAAATCCTTCCTACATTCCCTAATACCTCTCTTATCTCCACAACTAACTCTTCTCACATTCATTTATTACAGTGCACAGCTAATGCAAACGATGCGAGTTTGCGAAACGTCGTTCCTGGTCTCCTTAAACCCCGTTCCAAACTACATGTTGGAGCATTCAATGTACGGACATTGTGTCAAATAGGGCAACAGGCATCATTAGCTAGGACTTTAGAATCTCGCTCCATCGATGTATGCTGCGTCTCGGAAACGCGCATACAGGATCCGAGTAGCATCACTCATTTGACCTCACCATGTCAAGATAAAGAAGCAGCTCGATTTACCCTTCGTGTATCCGGTAGCCCTGATGCTGCTTCTAGGGGCCTCGCCGGTGTAGGTATAGCATTGAGTCGTAGGGCAGGACAATCTCTCCTTGACTGGATCCCTGTAGATAGTCGCTTGTGCGCCGTCCGACTCAACGGGACAGTAAGGACTCGGAAAGATAGGGACACTCGCCGTTGCCTCTTCGTCATATCAGCCTACGCCCCCACTGACTGCAGCCCAGATGATGTAAAAGATGAGTTTTACAGAAAGCTTTCGGACCTCCTCCAAAAAGTTAAGCGCTCTGATATAGTTATAATGGCTGGTGACTTCAATGCACAAGTAGGTAGACTAAGTGAAAATGAAAGACACCTAGGTGGATGTTACGGTCTCGCGGCTCAAAGAACAGACAATGGCGACCGTCTGTTGCAACTGTGCTCAGATAACCAACTATTTCTAGCAAACACTAATTTTAAGCATAAGGAAAAACACCTTTTGACCTGGCGACCCCCGAAGTGGTCTCAACGTTGGACACAACTAGATCATATCGCCATCAGCCACCGATGGAGAGGTTCGATAGAGGACTGTCGCTCGTTCTGGGGCACATGTTTAGATTCAGATCATGCCCTAGTGCGAGCACGTATTTGTTTGAGGCTTGCTGGACGTAGGAAAGACACAGTAAGGAAGCCTCTTAGGGCTCTACTTGATGATAATCAAGCTAAGAAAATATTTCAGGAGGAACTAGAAATACAGTTAGGCGGCCATGCAAGTGATTCCCATCCTGAAGCAGGTTGGAATCATATCAAGAAGGCTGTGGAAACAGCAATGGTATCTGCTAGCAAGGTAAACCACAAGGCTAAGATGAAGCCGTGGATATCAGTCGCATCCACCGAACTGATGGATGCTCGAAAACGCATCCCACCTGACTCTGAACATGATGAAGAGCGTAGTCAGCTTAGGCGCAGACTTATAAAAAGCCTACGTAACGACCGTGAACAGTGGTGGGTGGCGAAAGCAAAAGCGATGGAAAAGGCAGCGGCGATAGGCAACACTAGACAACTTTTCCGCCTTATCAAAGAAACCGGTATTAGGAACCCGAATGTAAGTGAGACTATCTCGGAAAAGGATGGTCTTATTATCCATTCTCAATCTAGGAGGCTGGACCGATGGGCAGAACACTTTAGGGATCAGTTCAACTGGCCTTCAGCCACTCTTCGGTTGCCCACGATCTCCAGTCATCCTGAATGGCAAATCGATTTAAGTCCTCCCAGTTTACATGAAGTTGAGAAAGCTATAGGAAATCTAAAGGGAGGTAGAGCGGCAGGTCCCGACAGGCTTACCCCTGAGATGTTTAAGTATGGTGGTCCAATTTTAACGGTTAAACTGACCGAGATCCTAGGTAGAATCTGGGAAATGGACGTAATCCCATCTGACTGGTCTCAGTCGCTAATTGTCCCAATCTACAAGAAAGGACAGAAGTCTTCTTGTGACAATCACAGGGGAATAAGTTTAACTAATATAGTTTCTAAATTGTTAGCCTCGATTATACTTAGACGTCTAACTAGAGCTCGCGAAGAGCAGACTCGAGAAAACCAGGCTGGTTTTCGACCTGGACGTGGTTGTATAGACCACATCTTCACACTACGACAGGTCCTGGAACACAGACACACATTTAGACGTCCGACGTTAGTCGTGTTCCTGAACCTTAAGGCGGCATTCGACTCAGTGGATCGTGAGGTTCTGTGGCAGTGTCTGTCATTGAAAGGTGTACCAAAGAAGTACATTAACCTTATACAAGCACTCTACTCGAACACCACTGGTCGGGTGAGAGCATATGGCGAACTGTCATCTGAATTCTCTACATCAAGTGGTGTCCGTCAGGGCTACCCACTCTCTCCATTCTTGTTCAACTTTGTCGTAGACATCCTCTTAGAGTTAACATTAAGCTCGTCAGATTTTTCAGGGGTTGACCTTCTACCAGGAAAGTCGCTTACTGATCTAGAATACGCCGATGACATAGTTCTATTCGGTGAAGACGCTGACAAAATGCAGAGTCTTCTGACTACCATAAGCAACAATGCGAGCATGTTCGGGATGCGGTTTTCCCCCTCGAAATGCAAAATGTTGCTTCAAGACTGGGTTTCATCGGCACCTGAACTAGTGATAGGGAGTGAAGTAGTCGAGCGTGTAGATCACTTCACTTATCTGGGGAGTCTCATCAGTGCTGACGGTCTGGTGACTGACGAAATCTCAGCTCGGATACAGAAAGCTCGATTGGCTTTTGCCAACCTGCGTCACTTATGGCGTAGGCGTGATATCCGTTCGCTAACCAAAGGGCGGGTGTACTGCGCAGCAGTTCGTTCCGTTCTCTTATATGGCTGTGAAACATGGCCGTTAAGAGTAGAAGATGTTCGTAGGTTACTAGTATTCCATCATAGATGTTTAAGAAGCATTGCTCGTATATCGTGGGACAGCCGAGTAAGCAATGCTGTCGTTAGGAAACGAGTACTAGGTAAGGATGGCAGATCAATCGATGAAGTGGTGAAACTTCATCAGTTGAGGTGGTTGGGACATGTGTTACGTATGCCTAACCACCGACTGCCTCGACGAGCTATGGTTTGTGGTGTAGGAGTAGGTTGGAAGAAAGCTAGGGGCGGCCAGACCAAAACATGGCACAAATCCATGAAGTCACTGACAAGTGGACTGAGTCATGTTGGTAGATGTAGACTACCTGGTTGGGGTCCGCGAGACGAAAGTCATCAATGGTTAGAGACCTTGAACGACATGGCTCAAAATCGTTTACAATGGCGCAGATGCATCCACTCTTTGAGCTCTCTCAAATCCTAATCTTCTGGATTCGTCAGAACCTCTACCTTTGTCTTTCTAACCTTATCTCACTGAATTATATTTTTTGAATAATATCTTAAACCCTAGTCTTCTTTATTATAACATTAATACCTCTACCATCTTTATCACCATGGGATTTGATTTGACATTTGCGTCTCTGTGCTAATAATGTGGTATGGCAACATGAACTTATGTACATACGTACGAAGTTCTACGTTGCAACTGACTGACTGACTGAAATTGACTTTATTCTTACTATAGCTTTACCATAGATTCTGTACTCGCCAGTATTGCGTTTACTGTTCTAGAATTACATCTGTAGGACAAATTAAATCCTACACACACAGATACAAGAATATAAGCATAAGCACCAAAAACAGCTACGTAACCAGCCTCACTCACTCAATTATAAGCCCCTTAATCCTAGAGTATCCTGAGTCAATAGTATAATATAATCTTCTTCCTTAAAATTCCAATAAACTTTTACTAAATAGAAACCAGTCTCCCTGATTAATCATTCACCCAACTAATGTTGTGGTGCGAGCTACTTATAAGTAGTATATGACGTGGGTGTCAACGTAATGTCTGGCAGCAGAAGATGGGGCAAGATCAAGAAAGGAAGAGTTAGAAGAAAACAATGGAATTTGTATGAAACGCATGAATAGTGACAATGGATTGATGTTTTGCAACAGGAACAGTCCAGTTCGATATGATGATGAACTGATATTTTGCAAATTAACGATTTACGATGTGGTTTTCCTATTTTACTGAGTAACTCTGTAATTTTCGTTAAATACAATTCGGTTGCCCGCACCTGTGTTCTCCTTCACTACAATGTGACTACAATCATTCTACTCATTATAAGCATAAACCTCTAAATAAAGTAAGTGATATAAACGAACACAGTACAGTATACAAAAGGTGCAGATTTGTAATCTATTTGAAAGAGAGTAAGTAGACAATGAATGTTCAATCATCAATCCAAAGGTATTCAACACAAGAGATTGTTTTATTTTAAAAAAAAACTAATAAACCATGCTAAACCAACCGGGTTAGAAAAAAAAGAAAGTCTTGGGTTCGAATCCTGTGAGGTACAAGAGTCGTGAATACACACTGCTGATGAGTTTTTCCATACAAGGACGAAACGGCCGTCTCTCAGTGCTTATAGTTTAGTGAAGGAGAACACAGGTGAGGGCAACCGAATTGTATTTATCAGAAAATTACAGAGTTACTCAGTAAAATAGGAAAACCATATCGTAAATCGTTAATTTGCAAATCTTCAATCCATCATCAATCAATTGTCTGACATTTCACGTGTTCATGCGTTTCATACAAATCCCATTGTGTTCTTCTAACTCTTCCTTTCATTCTTGATCTTCCCCCCATCTGCTGCCCGACATTACGTTTTTACTCGCGTCATATACTACTTATAAGTAGTGCGCACCACAATAGGTTTCTAATTAATGGTGATCTCACTTTGATCGATACCCATGTGCAAAAACAAAGAAACTGTCATCAAATAAAAAAGTTGAACATCAAACACATTGAACATTTAATGGAACTTACCAATACAAATGGATAAAGCACATAATGGTTGAATAGCTCGAATGACTCGTTTCGATTTACGACAACTCAAATCCATAAAAACAGTGATACCTAAACAATTATTATTTTTTTCGAATGAAAAACAAAACAAGAATAGGATGAAGTGAAAATATAACTTTTTTTCGCAAAATAAAATCCACTTGTAAAAAAGGGATCTATCTTTTTTTCTGTACAAAATGGTGGCTGTTTGGGCTCACCAGCTTAGGTGGAACATCTGAGGTAGAAGTGACTCTGTTTGAATCACAGCGTTAATGTCAGCGAGTACATGTGTCCAGCCTTTAAATTCACTTACTCTATAAGAACTTTGTGGTAATGGACAGACATTATCGTGGAAATCTCCATATCATACACATATGTCAACAATGGTTGATTGAAAATCCACTCAAGGTTATCAACAACCGGGTAATTCCAAAGCTTACTAACAACAATATAATTAGAGGTTTACAAAAATTTACATGGTTTGGGGAAAAACTGTTGGAGATGTTAGATACCCAGAAGTTGTTTGATAAATGCCTTAGTTTTTGGATTTCACGTTTGCCAGCATGGGCTGATCAGTTGACCTTGAGATTTTATTTCCCATCAGGAAAATCCATGGCTGTGATTGGCTGTGTGTATTTTGGTCTGCTATTTTCTTAACTGTCCCACTAGGACGTTTCTATGATGTATAAATAAACGAGAGTTGTATGCTTGATTGCATTGTGATTGCTGGGTGTTTGTAGAATATACTTCCTACGCTTACAAAGCCTTTTATCTTCAACGTAGGATTCAAGGTAGCCTACCTGGACGCTGGTAATTGTCTCGTTCGCGTTTATCGACTAAGGTAAACTCGTAATAGCTTCAAAAGTACCTAATGACGAACCCTGCAAAAACCAAGTAGATTTTCCTGTCAGAGTAGGCCCCTGTAAGTAATAGTCGATTATTATCTTACAAAAGATCATTTTCTGAATCCATTCTAGGAATATTTTTTCAAAGCTTGTAATTCTCGAGCATATTTATTCCTAGTCAATAGAATGTGCACTTTGTTCTATTCATGAAAATTATAGCAAATTTATTATAAGTATTATTGTGATTTACTAGTCTGGTAATATGTGAATGAATGGTTAGACACCATCAGCAACAACCTCCCGTGGGAGAGAACAAACCAGATTACAGAGGAGGAGGATATCAGGAAGAAGCGGTGGAAGTTGATAGGACATACATGGTGAAAAGCACCCAACTGAGTCAAAAGACAGGATATTTATCGAAATCCTCACAGCCAAAGGAAAAGAGGAAGGCCAAAGAACACATCACGTTGAGAAACGGAGACAGACATGAGAAGAATAAACACAATTTGGACGGAACTGGAAAAGGAAGTCTAGGTCAGAGTATGCTGGAGTATACTGGTCGGCGGCCTATGCCCCATCGGGGGTTACAGGCGTAAGTAAGTAAGTTTGGCGGGAGTAACTATGACTCTCTTAAGGTAGCCAAATGCCACGTTGAGCAATATTATGAGCCTTTGAAGGGGTTGTGGTGGCAGCTACCTCTTCGTGGTCCCGCTAGGCAACGTGGGGGTGGATACATCGCTGCGACCAAAAGCCGTTCCGATCGCTTAGGATACCGTGCTTAGCATGGTCCGGACAAATGGCACACTCATGATCGCAAGGCTGTGGATGCGTTTGACTACTCTAGGGGATTAAGACTGAACGTCTCTAGGTTGGAATCCCGTCCTTCAAGCGTAGGTAAACTCTTGAAAGGGATGTAGTAGGATGATCGAGGGCGGTCCTGGACGCCGCAGACATCCTGGACTACTGACGTCGACCCTGTGTGGTTGTCCCTTACACTCCGCACCCGATGTAGTGTATGAACTGGCGTCGAGGCCCCTTAAACAAGGGTCTCCAGTTGGGTTTCGGTGCTTTAGTGCTGAAAGGGTACTGAACACCAATGATGTTTGTCTGTGGGATGAACCCTGCTTGGCTAAGCTCTTGCGTTTGGTCGAGTCCATGACATCTTCCTCATGGAAAGGTGTACGTTCTAGCTGACCTTGTGGGACAAACTCGATCTTTAGCTTTATGTGGGGTTTTGAGGACTCCGGTCGGTTGTTCAGCGCAGGGAGGTTGGAGGCCAGACGGTTGGAATGGCTGCTGGTTAGTGCACTGCTTGGGTGGCTCGGTAACCTGCTACGGGGTTCCTTGTCCGGAAGGATAAGCCCGCCTTGCCGCCCTCGCCGATTGGGGATTGTGGGCTGTGGTTTGGTTGGTGGGATTTCTTGATTCATAATTGCCCGGGCGGGGGCCACTGCTCGTGTGCGTAAGTTTTGGACGTCCAACTTGTCTGCAGTCCAATATAGACAACATGTATGTTCCCGAAAGGGGCAGGGGTCACTACTGTTGGCTACAGTGAGAATCCTTGAGTTGCATATCAACGCAGCAATGTGCATGTGCAGCAAGCCTGTTGGTTGACCATGATTAGTACATTTAGAGAGAGAGTTAAATACGTGGCTCGGTAATCCGTCTCAGGGTGCCAGGACTAACTAAGTAAGCCGGCCTTGTCGCCCATGCCGATTGGAGATTGTGGGATGTGGACTGGTCGGAGGGATCGAATTATTTCATAAGCACCCGGGCGGAGGTGACTGCTCGTACGCACGCTAATTGGATGTCCGACTTGCTTGCATGAGAATCTAGTCGACATGTGTGGAGCTTTGTGATATGTAAAAGCAGCTTTTGTGCATGTGCTGCAGGTTAGTTGGTTAACTAAGAGTAGTATATTTAGTGTTAATTACGATATGATTCATCTTGTGTTACTGTGAAATATATACTCCACAGAATGATTTCAATCCGTATAAAATAATGATTTTCAAGAAAAAACCACTACTATTAACCTACCTAAATATGAAATTCCTATACCAATAAAATAATCCCATGGTAAATAAATCCAAGTTATTATTTCTGTTGAGGTCACTATAGAGGTGAATATAAAAATTGGCCAAGTGATTATTATGTTGAATAAACCTGTTGAATTGAGAGATGGAAAAAAATATGGATTAGAAAACTATAAAGACTGATGATACGTTAAGAAAATGATTAATCAATCTGGTAAATTAACATAAAATATCTATACAAGAACACAATGGAATTTGTATGAAACGCATGAATAGTGAGTGAAATGTCAGACAATGGATTGATGATTGATTGAAGATTTGCAAATTAACGGTTACGATATGGTTTTCCTATTTTACTGAGTAACTCTGTAATTTTCGATAAATACAATCCGGTTGCCCCACCTGTGTTCTCGTTCACTACACCGGGACCTTCGGTACTGTGCGCAAACGCTTAACCTCTGGACCACTGGGTCGGAATCCAACGGTGCTAATGTCTAACTCTGATTGATCTAGGGATTTCGCGCGAGCTCACACATTTGTCTTTGGTAGTTACTGCCTACAATCGACAGAGTTGAACTTCACCAGTCACTGTTTCTCTTTAGAACTCTGAGAATTTCCTCACGAAACTAGTCACTAGTGAGCACATTTTACGATATTTTCAATTACAGTTATGGAGATTAGTGTTTTTTCCACACATTTGAAATCATCAATCAATCATTGTTAAACCATCATTAGAAACTTGGAAGCTTTGGATGTCCTGGTATGGGACTGACTCATTTATTTATGTTGAAATATCTGAATGACTGGTGAGTTTTGCCCCTTAGTAAGATCCAGTCCTAAAAGTATTCATCTTTTGGTAGTGAATTTCTCTGTGTTTCTACTGCAATGTCTAGTACTACTATGTAGCGCTTTATATGGTCTTTTCAACTGTACGCTTTTAATCAAAGTCAGATTCAAGATAAAAAAAGTAGTAAGCACTTGCTTACTTCTTGCTTTGATTACTCCGCCCACCAGTTTTCTCCAACCAACTCTGTCCTGGGCTTCCCTCTCTAGTTCTGTCCAATGTTTGTTCATTCTACCAATGTCTTTATCTATTTCTCGGCGTAATGTGTTACCTGGACGCCTTCTTTTCCTTTTGCCTTGAGGGTTCCATGTGAGGGCTTGCCTTGTGACGCAGTTAGGTGCTTTTCGTAGTGTGTGTCCTATCCACTTCCACCGCTTCTTCCTGATTTCCTCCTCCACTGCAATCTGGTTTGTTCTCTCCCACAGTAAGTTGTTGCTGATGGTGTCTGGCCAACGAATACGAAGTATTCTGCTACGACAACTGTTCATAAATGCTTGTATCTTCTAGATGATGCCTTTCGTAGTTCTCCAAAAGGCACTACTTTGAGCTTAATGCAACTTGAAAAACTACGTTGACAAAGAGCCTTTTTTAATCTGGTACATTTCACAAATAGACTCAATGCAGCTGATTCAAGTCCAGCTGCATGTCATGCGTGATAACAACACATTGATTGATTTCTAATCACTACACAGTAAATGTAAATGTCCCCATCTTATAGGTTAACTTTCGCTATCAAGTAACTAAATAATAACGATTCTAACCATAACATTGGTTTAAGTAAGTTAATTAATAGCTTACAAAGAACTTAGATCCATACATCCCTATTACTTTAGTTGTAGAATCGTATGTGTGTTGTGAACGATTTAATTACGGGTTATCGAAGAGACTATTCAGTTCACATTTTCACCTCTCAGATTGACTCCAATTGGCGAGTCATTGAAAACCCAAGAAAGACTGGACAAAGTATTAGTCTTAATAAGCTTTTCGCCAGTAATGAACTTAGAAAACTCAGCTAACGATCCAAACCGAATCCATGGTCACTGAGTTCATGTCCACAGAAAAATACAACAATTGTTTGCTGTACATTAAAACATATCCGCACGTCTTAGATTAATTTCGTATTGATAACCGTTTTTTATAGTGTGAGATTGTAGTTCGATCCAAAACCGAGTTAATTCAATATCAGAAATCTCCAAACAAAGATTTTTGATTGAAATCATCAATCAATCATTGTTAGACCTGCATTAGAAAAACCTGAAATCACTAGACAGCCATTTCGTCCTAGTATGGGACTCTTCAGAAGTCCGGTTCTCGCGACAAGGGATTGTGGATATGCACTGAGAAGAAACGGCTGTCCAGTGATTCCAGGTTTTTCTAATGAAGGTCTAACAATGATCGATTGATGATTTCGAATGTGTACAAATCTACAAGTATTCCATTGATCAATAATTCAAAAAACAATATTTTTTTTTCAAAGAAATAAAATTTATCTTATTTGACCAAATGATTAAAAAGTAATAAACATGAAATAGTAACTTGAGGATGATTTACTTACCCAGTGAGAAATAAAAACAAGCCATTTGTCCAATAGTAGGCTTATTAGTAATACGTTTTAAAACAACCTAAATTCATAAAAAAATAACCACAACAAATAGAAACAATAACGGGGTTGTGAAGATTGTTAAGTTACACATTTTTGAAACCATGAATCGATCAATGTTAGACCACCATTAGAGAAACCTGGAAGAAGCACTGAAAGACGGCCGTTCCGTCCTGGTATGGGACTCCTCAGCAGTGCGCATCCACGACTCCTGCAACCCTCAGGATTCGAACCCAGGACCTTCGGTATTGTGCGCGAAAGGCCTAACCATCGGACCACTGAGCCGGTATCTAACGGACAACCAGCATCTGCAGCGATTCTGCCTCCTCACAAGAAAGGAAGGGTTTGAAAAGGTCGACCCTAAAAATGTCACACCTCACCCTACCGTTTCCGATGGTAAGGGTGTCCACTAAGGGTTTTTTAAAAGAGCGGAGCTAATACTCAAAAATCTTCTCATAAAAAGGCCTCGAGCAGTTGTCCCTTGGACTCTGCGGTCACGCTCCCAAGTTTCCAAGACCAACACTAATCTACCTTCCTTTTCAGGTTCCTCAAGAAACAACCTTACAAGGTGTGGGCAGCCGGGAAGTGACAACCGCCTCCTCATACCCGTAACAGCTATTTGCCTTAAAGCCTTGGTTGTTTTGACTTGAGTACATATATGCATTGCTTACACTGCTTGTCACATGTTTGATTTACTTTCGTCCGACTATAAATACCTAGTCATATTTCATCGAACTGAGTTTAACCAACTCACTTTTTCCACTTTACTTTGCTTCACTTCGCATTCTATATTACCTGTCTGTCCATCCACAAAACCGTATTGAACTTCTATAATGACCTTCGTTGCATAAACAGGGTGTGTTTGGGAAAATGATATACAGAATATTTAATCGCTCGCTCAAATTGAAGTCAAATTCCGGGCAACTAAACGTTATCGGATATGGCTCAGAACACAAGCCTGTGGCGGTATTGTTGTAATTTCTTTTATTGCTTTCTTAATATTCAGGCAAAACTGTTTGATTGAAAGAATCCTTCTTCCTGGTAGTTTTTCTTCTCATTATTATTATTGTCTATTTTTACTCTCACACTTAATTTAAAATCCATTTTCTGTCATATTCACCGACTTCTTTTTTCCCACGTCACAACCTCATTTTCATCGTATGTCGGTCGGTTCCTCCTAGCATTAATATTTATGTTTTAAAATAAACTAAAAGATTTCAACCTTTCCTTTTCCTAACTAGATGAAAGTAAATGTGAAATAGGCTATAATTTTTTTTTAAAAAAAAATCAACTTATCACCAAAGGTCGGTAAGTTGTTTTTTTGATTGTCGTTATATCAGTTAGAATAAACAATGTGTAGTAGTAGTAGTAGTGTGGTGTGTGCTACTTATACGAACGATATAAGTAGTATAAGAAGGGTGACGTGAAAGAAGAAGTCTCACGGTCACAAGAGGAAAACGGAAAGCAAATGGAGCAAAAGCAAGAAGTAAATGGAGTACCAACAGGAAGTAAAGGAAGCAACAGCAGGAATGGAAGAAGGATGGAGCGTTGGAAGTCACAACTCAAAGATGGTGTGCCAATAGAGTGTTCAATGTAATGTTTTCGTTTTCGTCCTGTTGGGCAATTCCTCTTCCAATGTCCGGTTCCTCCGCAAATATAGCACTTATTATTTCTTCCACACTTTATTCGTAACGCTGCCACCTCGCGTTGTAATTCTTCTATCTTCTTCACGACATCATCAACCTGTCTTTCACACGCCACCGAGGCGACTGTTGAGTTCATCAGTTGTCTTGTTACTTTCGCCAGCTCGGTGACGTCCATTGGTTGTGCCGCGTTCACCAGTCTCAACTGTTGGCCGACCTCTGCAGGCACACTTTCAATGAATTGCGACGCTAGCAGCTGTGCTTGCGACTCCTCATCCGAATTCGGCAGACCCCGGCGCGGCAATCTTATCAACTCCACGACCTGCTCGAGTGGGTCGCCAACCACCGTCAATCTCGCCTCTCGGAACTTCTGCAGCGCGTCCTGCCTATCCGCCGGGCTGTCGAACTCCACCAGCAGCCTTTCTGTCACCACCTCCCAGTCAGCGTCCTCCACACTATCGTACACCGCTCTCGCCCTGCCTCTTAGTAGAGTCCCCAACACCACCGCCTTCGCCCTCCGCTCCTTGACTCCTACCAGCTCCGCCACGGCTTCGAACTACTTCAAGAAGCTCCTTACATCTCCGTCTTCAAACTCCGAAGGCCATGGGATCTTCATCTTGTGTAGAGGTAGCGACACCAATTGAGAAGATTGAGGCAGATGCAGTAGGTTGTATTTACACTCTTAGTCAATTGCAAACGAAAACATTACACTGAACACTCTATTTGCACACCATCTTTGAGTCGTGACTTCCAACGCTCCATCCTTCTTCCATTCCTGTTGTTGCTTCCTTTCCTTCCTGTTGTTACTCCATTCACTTCTTGCTTTTGCTCCATTTGCTTTCCGTTTTCCTCTTGTGACCGTGAGACTTCTTCTTTCACGTCCCCCTTCTTATACTACTTATATCGTTCGTATAAGTAGCACACACCACAGTAGTAGTAGTAGTAGTAGTAGTACATTACTCTATATAATGATTGAAAATGTTCAAAATAAAAGCAAGTATGCATGCATGCATGCAAACATATTCGAGTTTGATTAAAAAAAATTTAATGAAATGTAATGTTACTTACTATAAATAATGAAAACGTAATTATTGACAAACTAGTTAAACATTTATACCACATCACCAATTGATCACTGTAAATATTTAAAATTACACCACTGGAAGCCAAAATGAATGCGATCACCTGAAATAGTAGATGAATTAGACAGAAAAACAAATTTCGTGTATAGAATTAGAGAATGAGATATGAGAGGAATAAACAAACATTGGACAGAAAACTCAGGACAGACAGAGTTGGTTGGAGAATGCTGCTGGTGGGCGGACTGTAGTGCCTCCACATAAACTTGAGTTCGCTCATATTTAATTTGATTACGCCTTTCGATTAACTTATGTAACCAAGCTATTTGCATAGCAACAACTCATATGTACCATTGGTATTTTTTATTATCTGGTTTGTATGAGCTTGTACGACTGAGCATTGCTTACGCCTACGCGCTTACTTATCCTTTTCGCTTTAATGTTAATCTCTTAATATCCCCATGAACTCACATGACTTGTCTCGCTTGATTTTGTACCTTGTCAATCATTCGTCGCTTTTATTCATGTGTGTACATGCCTATTTCGCTTCTCATATGTCTGTCTTATTTTTATCTGACTATATATTCTTAGTCACGCTCTATCTCCTGGGAGTTGGCTCTTAGCCTTCTCCAATGCCCTTCGCCTGTTCATTCACTTCCTTCGCCCATTCCTTCGCATTGTAATCCTAGGAGTTGGCTCAACAACCTTCTCCAGTTCACGTCGCTTCATTCGTTTTATTCACTGCTTCTGCGCTTCGCTTTGTGGTGTGTCCTGAATAAACGTATTCATCACTACGAATTCATCTTCTGATTTATAAACCGTCAGACGCTATTTGGCAAGGATTGTCTGAACGAGTTAATTACCGAGCTTAAGAACACGCAGTAAATCGACACACTACAGGCCTATGCTCTATTGAGGGCAATAGGTGTAAGTATGTAAGTAAGTAAGTAAGTTTAGATATGATAAATTTGGTTTGATTGCTGAAATGATAGTGGAATACAGTTGTTTCATTTGCAAACAAATATCGTTTCTTAATCAAAAATGAAATTAGATATATCTACGCTTGGACACTGAACAAACATCCAGTGGTGCGCTCTACTTATAAGTAGTATATGACACGAGTGTAAACGTAATGTCTGGCAGCATAAGATGGGGGGGCAGATCAAGAGAAAGAAAGAGTGGGAACACAATGGAATTTGTATGAAACGCATGAATAAGTGAAATGTCAGACAATGGATTGATGAATTGGATTGAAGATTTGCAAATTAACCGTTTACGATATGGTTTTCCTATTTTTCCTGAGTAACTCTGTAATTTTCGGGTAAATACAATTTGGTTGCCCTCACCTGTATCCTCTTTCACTACAATCCATGTGATTGTATTGTCTTTGACGATTAAAACTTTTCACATTTCATTCTTAAGAAGTAGATTCTATTTTACACAGTAAGTAAAAAAACAAAACTATTTCCAAGAATCTATCGGATCGTCTACAGCTGAATCATTAAATTGTCAATACCTGCTCTATCCTAAATTATTTCAATTTTTAACTTTAAACTAGTTGTTCATGTCTATTAGTGAACATGATGACTTATAAGCATCTGTTCAGGTGGATGGTCGTGGTGGTGGTGTTTGGTTCTCTGAGTTGGATGTTTCGGTTGTGGAGCTTTCACTGTTCTTCTGATCAACATCATCAGCACGAACTTCAGATAGAGAATTGAAGTATTCGAATTTCTCCACGTTTGACCTGTAGCTTGTTCTGTGAACCTCGATCTTGATTGGTTGCTGTTGACCTTTGACCTGTCGTTGTTTGCAACTTTGTTTTGATTGTATCCTCCTTTTGATCTGTTTCTTGATCCTATGTCACGTATGATTTTTCTCATTGATTGATAAATTGAGTCACTGTCGATGTGTTTGTGATCGCTGATTGACTTGAGTGCCAAGCTTCTGAAAATTCTCTAGTGTTCTTTGTCCTCACCCTATCCAGTATTTTCACATTGTCCCGATCGAATGTATGTCCATTAGTGTCGGTGTGCATATATATAAGCGAAGAAATATTGTGGTCTTTGAATGCTAATTGGTGTTCACGTAAACGAAGATGAAGAGGTCGTCCACTTTGTCCTATGTAGTGTTTTTCACAGTTTGAGCAATTTATTTTGTACATGATATTTGGTTTTTCTTCCTTTGTCATTTCGTCCTTTGGTCTACATACAGGATTGATTGAAGTGATTCTGTTGGTTTGTGTGCCACACCTATTCCAAATGGTTTCAATAGACATGCTGTACACTTCGATGTGTCTTTTATGCTGATCATGTTGTTCAGAAGAACAATGAAAGCTTCACAGCCAAAACATCGAGCTCAAAGAACAAAACATCACCACAAGCATTTACATTTTATCCGACTAGACTTCATGTTAAACGGTCAAAGTTAATCTCCCAGGAAACTTTGCTTGACTTAGGTTTCGTTAAAGTTGGTACTCTCATTAGTAAAGTCTTCCATTTTGTACGGTTTAAACCATCATCTTAAGTCATCACAATGTATGACATTATCACTGAGTCATTGAGTTAACGACTAATCATCGGTATGACTATGACATATGCTTACGTCCAATGATTATCGAGTAGTGATTAGTGTCACGTTTGTTTAGTCCCCAGCAGTGACTGGATTCCACCAATCAAATGCTTTGTTCAGCAGTTTGTGATATAACATCAGGCTCACCAAAAGTTCTTGAATTGTCTTAAAACTGAATTTCCGGGCAGAGTTTTGGAGGTTTTGTGTTTTTTTACACATTTGAAATCATCAATCAACCAATCATTGTTAGACCACACCATTAGAAACCTGGGAGAAGCACTGAGGCACGGCCGTTTCGTCCTGATATGGGACTACTCACCAGTGGCAGTGCGCATCCACGACTCCTGCTCCTCACAGGATTCAAACCCAGGACCTTCGGTATTGTGCGCGAATGCCTAACCATCGGACCACTGGGCCGGAATCCAAACTGAATGCCTTTTAGTCAACATATCACCGAAAGAACTATGTGATATCCATTACGAAATTAGTTACAATTGATAAGTTCGGCTGCAGATGAGTATAAGGGCTTTGAACTGATCTTCCGACAAAGACTTCAACCGAAAACGTTCGCATTCACGGTTGACGATGCCCACATACGTAAGAAAGTCATCATCTTCGTTCATAATTAGCTTCAAACATCGATATCGAGTATTAAACAGTGACGAGTTATCGCCAAAGTGTTAGCTTAAAGTTGGCTTAAAGTCTGAACAGTCTCAGAAAATGAACCATCTCGTGGGTTCAAAGGCAGGATCAAATTACAGTACTTATCCAGCTCACTTGCGCCCAACTTTCGAAGTAGCAGCCGAACCTTCCAAGCATCATCTTGGTTGGCGAAATCAAATTTAAATAAATCTTCATAACGCCAGAACTACATGTCAAAAGTGACATTTGCATCAGTTTCAGCTGCTGCTCAAGTAATAATAATTCAAGTTTGGCAGGATCCATATTTCCAAAAGCACCGTCGCCACTGATAGGTTCGTCACTTAGTATGCTTGAGGCTACTATTACGAGTTTACCTTAGTCGATAAACGCGAACGAGACAATGAACCAGAGTCCAGGTAGGCTACCTTGAATCCGAGGCTGAAGTGAAAAGGCCTTGTAAGCGTAGAAGTGTATTCTACAAACACCCAGCAAACACAGTACAATCAAGCATACAACTCTCGTTTATTTATACAACATAAGAACGTCCTAGTGGGACAGTTACGAAAATAGCACACTAAAATACACAGCAGCCAATCGCACAGCCATGGATTTTCCTGGTGGGAATTGAAATCTCAAGGTCAACTGATCAGCCCATGCTGGCAAAACGTGAAATCCAAATAATAAGGCATTTATCAAGCGAGTTGTGTTGGGGATGTTAGATCCCCAACACAATAGATACATTTTTATGCATACTACAATAATCGTATTGAAAATGAAACAGAGTATAGCAACAAAAAAAAATAAAAACTTACTCGTAAAGCACAAAATCGTCTATGTACAATAATCCAACATAATAAATATAAAAAACATGGTAGTACAGCTGTAATAGCAGCACAATCAATTGGTGTGATAATGCGTAGACTACGAATAAAACAATGTATAAATATTTGCCATAAACATGAAAGTACACTACATCTAATAAAAATTTTCATTAGTTTCGGTTGATCACTTGCTACAATAATAGCATGATGCCTAAATAAAATTAAAGAAAGGAAGAAACAGAGTGATAGAATGGAGGAAACAATTTGTGCAAGATAAAAATACACGTTCCAAAAAAAAGTTAACGTTTTACTGATCATTATTCGGAAAGTTAAACTTTCGCTAATCGATAGGCGTTATAATAAGTTTCTAATCAGATGATTAGAATGTAGGCGTTTGAACATTGAGAATTTCCTTCTCAATAATATCATTGACAATAATATATGCAAAATGGTATTGACAGGTTACTAGTCTTCGAAGCATTGCTCGTGTATCATGGGACAACCGTATAAGCAATGCTGTCGTTAGGAAACGAGTTCTAGGTAAGCATGGACAGGTCAATAGATGAAGTAGTGAAACTTCATCAGTTGAGGTGGTTGGGACATATGTTGCGTATGCCTAACCACCGACTGCCTCGACGAGCTATGTTTTGTAGTGTAGGAATAGGTTGGAAGAAAGTTAGGGGCGGCCAAACCAAAACATGGCAGAAATCCATGAAGTCATTGACGAGTGGACTGAGCCATGTCGGTAATTGTCGACTAACTGGTTGGGGTTTGCGAGATGATAATAATCGACGGTTAGAGACCCTGAATGACATGGATCAAAACCGTTTGCAATGTCACCGGTGCATTTATTCTTTGTGTTCTCTCAAATCCTAATCTTCTGGATTCTTCAACATCTCTAGTTTTGACTATCTAAACTTTTCTCACTGAATCATATTTCTTGAATAACATCTTCTAATCCTAACCTCTCCGACTACTTTTAATACCTTGACTATGGGATTTGATTTGACATCTGCGTCTTTGTGCTAATGTGGTATGGAAACATGAACTGATGTACTTACGTACGAAGTTCTATGTTGCGTCTGACTAACTGACAAGGTAACTATAAATACTACCACTGTACAGCTCTAAGAAATTATGTAATAAGTAGGATAATCTTTCTTTTCTAGAACATCAACATTTTGTTTTCGTGACTCGGTTACTTTCTTTTGTTTTATTTAGTTTCAAGTTGATACTTACTGTTCAGTGAGATTCATATTCACTACTTTGTGAAATCAAGCTTCTAATATTCAAGATTATATCTGAAAGAGATTGTAGGTTACCATTAATGATGGCGAAGACCTCAAAGAATGATTGAATCATTACTTAAAACCCAAAAATTTACTAGCACTTGTGACTGGATGATTAATAATGACACAATCAACTAAGTACGAATGGTATGTCCGTAAACACTTGTCAAATGAAGTGCTCAATACAAAGTTGGTAAGAACAAAAGTATTAAACAAAACGTGACCAAGTCACCTACACTGGTCAAACAAGTTAGTGGATATTTGGGTTCACTTCTAGCTTGAGTCTAAGCTTACTGTTTAAATTAAACGATGCTGGTCTAGCAGGTTCATGATTTCAGTAAAAAAAATCAACAATTTCCAAAAACTCCACACTGATAGTTATCATACGCTCATTGGTGACTAGAATTGTAAGGTAATTCTTGGAGTTCTAGTGAGAAACCGTGGATCAATGCAGTTCAACCGTGTTCAATGTGAGGCTCTTACTCACAATGAATTAGACATTAAAAAACCGTTATATGGCCAGCTCAGTGGTCAAAAGGTTAAGCCTCCACAGGTGAGACCTCTTTTCTTGCAGGATCGAGGACGGGCACTAAGACAAAATGGCTAGTTATGGCTTTTCACTAGAACTTAGTTCAATTCTCTCAAAGTCAATAGCTACTGAGTATGCGATTATGCTTGAAAAACCATGTTTTGTTGATAGTGTTCAGTGAACTGCGTACAAAATGAACTAATTTTAGTCAGGTAATCAATCACTGAATACCAGGAAGAATAAGGCAGTTATTTTATACTGTTGTGAAAATTGTTAATAGTAGCCACATACTACCTAATCAAGGGTTAAAATCCAAGACCTTCTAGTTTCATGGCGAGTAAGTTACTTCCAGGCCAGTGAGTCAGCTTTCAACTACCATTCATTGACATGAATGATACCTGCCTCACACCTAATATCGTCTTATATAGGTTTCACATTTTTGAAACCATGAATTAATGATCAATGTTAGACCACCATTAGAAACCTGGAAGAAGCACTGAGAGACGGCCGTTTCGTCCTGGTATGGGACTCATCAATGGCAGTGCGCATCCACGACTCCTGCACCGCGCAGGATTCGAACCCAGGACCTTCGGCATTGTGCGCGTACGCCCTAACCGTTAGATCACTGAGCCGGTATCTAACGGTGTTAATGTCTAACTTGATCAAATTCACGTAGTTGAGCAACCTCATACACAGTCTTCGGTAAACACAATACGGAAAACACATATATGAAAATAAGTTTGTAAAAAAATATATATAAATATTGATGTGTATATATATACTGTCAACACTCACATAATCATTTCAGTGATTGTTAATTCTTCCAAATGAAATAAGAAATTTATAATGAGGTATATTGGATAAATGAGAATTAACCAAAATGATATAGTATAGGAAGCCAATGATGGAGGATTTACAAGTTCCTTTTTTTTCAAATGACGCAAATGACAATAACATAACATTTGATTAGGAAAAGGGAGAAAGGAAGAGACAAAGAGAGAGATGACATGTGAACAAATAGAAATTATTGAACATTGATTGATAAGGTAATTTATTAAAACAAAGAAATTACAAACAAAACCTGCTATCTATAAAATATCATGTCAGAATGAAATTTCAGTAATTCTAACTTATGTTTTTTCAATTTGTCGCGTTAAATGCTGCTTACCAGTTTTTTTTATTTGATGTACAAATGAATTAAATACATACTGTGTTTGATAGTGTTACGCTCGTCACTAAGTATGCTTAAGGCTATTACGAGTTTACCTTAGTCGATAAACGCGAACGAGACAATGAACCAGAGTCCAGGTAGGCTACCTTGAATCCTTAAATAGAGTGAAAAGACTTTGTAAGAGTAGAAAGTATAATCTACAAACACCCAGCAATCACACAATACAATCAAGCATACAACTCTCGTTTATTTATACAACATAAGAACGTCCTAGTGGGACAGTTAAGAAAATAGCACACTAAAATACACAGCGGCTAATCACAGCCAAGGATTTTTACGGGTGGGAATTAAAATCTCAAGGTCAACTGATCAGCCCATGCTGGCAAACGTGAAAACCAAAATAAGGCATTTATCAAGCGAGTTGTGTTGGGATATAACATCCCCAACAGATAGCTTTTATCTATAATCATGTAAATCATCTTAATAAATATATTTCTGATATAAGATGTGAAGGCGCGGATCGGCAAAGCAAGGGCTGCATTGTGACAATTGAATGAACATGTGGAAGGAACTCCAAACAACTATCAACCAACACCAAAGTCAGAATTTTTGTATACAAATGTCAAGACAGTTCTACTGTATGGAGCGGAAACTTGGAAAACTACCGAAACCATCATCCACAAGATACAAGTATTTATTGACAGTTGTCTACGCAAAATACTTCGGATCCGTTGGCCAGGTACCATCAATAACAATCCGCTGTGGGGAAGAACAAGCCAGATTCTAGCAGATGAAGTAATCAGTAAGAAGAGATGAAAGTGGATAGGATGCAACACATTGAGGAAAGTTCCTAACTGCGTCACAAGACAAGCCCTCTCACCTGGAATTTTCAAGATCAAAGAAAAATAGGAATACCAATGAACACATTGCGCTGAGAAATGGAGATAGACATGAGAAAAATGAACAGCGAAAAATTGGACAGAACTAGAAAGGGAGATCTAGGTTAGGGAATAATGTTTGGCGGTTTATGCTGTGTATTGGATGTGACAGGTGTAAGGAAATAAGTAAGTATATTTATGTTGGGGATGTTAGATCCCCAAAATTCGCTTAATAAATGCCTTATTTTAGTTTTCACGTTTGCCAGAATGGGCTGATCAGTTGACATTGAGTTTTTATTTCCTACCAGGAAAATCCATGGTTGTGATTGGCTGCTGTGTATTTGATAAGTTCGGCACTTAGGATGCTTGAGGCTATTACGAGTTACCTTAGTCGATAAACGCGAACGAGACTTTTACCAGCTTCCAGGAAGGCTACCCTGAATCCCAGAATCGAAACAGAAGACTTTGTAGGCGTAGAAAGTATATTCTACAAGCACCCAGCAATCCCAGTACAATCAAGCATACAACTCTCGTTTATTTATACAACATAACAACGTCCTTGAGATAGTTAAGAAAATAGCATACTAAAATACACTGTAGCCAATCACAGCCATGGATTTTCCTGGTGGGAATTGAAATCTCAAGGTCATTTGATCAGCCCCTGCTGGCGAACGTGAAAACCGAAATACAGTATTATCAAGCGAATTTTGGGGATCTAACATCCCCAACACTCCTACCCTTTTTAATAGCTTGTTCTCCTGGGGTCGACTTGCATCTTGACTATTGTTCGCCGCTGTCTGAGGGGATACCTTCGGGAACGAAGAACAGCTTGCTGCTGAGTTTCTTCTCGTGGCGGGGCTCTCGGTAGGTTGAAGGTATCAAGCAAGATGTCAAGGGGAAGGCTTTCTGCTCTTGATGGGCGATCTGGGGCTAGCCGTCTGCGTATCTGATTGCGATGACGTGACCATTTATCACCTCCTACCTCTACTTCGTACATAACTCGACCAACCCTTCTGACCACTCTCGCTTCTACCCAAGGACCATGGTTCGTTCTGTAGTCGCGGGCAAACACAGGGCATCCCACCTCGTAAGCGGATTGTCTTTGCTGCTTTGTCTCTACTGATGAGGGTGCATTGGTCGGATGCATCAGGCTGTGAATCGTTTTCAATCTTCTTCCCATCAGGATTTCAGCTGGGGACTTTTGCTCCGGTAACAATTCATTTGGTGTTGTCCGATAGACGTACAAGAAATTTTGTAACGTTTCGGCTGGCGTCCCCTCCCCTTTTGACTTGAGCAGTGCTCTTTTAAACGTATCCACAAACCTTTCCGCCTGCCCATTCGATTGCGGGTGGTATGGTGGCGAGCGTAAGTGTTTAATGGCTAGCCGTTGACAGAAATTCTGGAATTGGGAAGAGGTGAATTGAGAGCCATTGTCGGATACGATCACATCTGGTATGCCATTTCGTGAGAAAATTTCAGTTAGGAGCTGTATAGTCTTAGTTGTAGTGGGCGGCATAACGGGGCTGATTTCCGGCCATTTAGAAAAGGCGTCGACGACAATTAAATACATAGTTCCATTTATTGGGCCAGCGAAGTCGACATGTATCCTGGACCAAGGATGCTCAGGTTTGGGCCATGAAACCGGCGGAATTTTGGCATTCATCTTTGCCGCCTGCTGACACCGGATGCATTTTTCAACCAACGCTGTGACATGTTGATCCATGTGAGGCCAGTATGCATAACTCCTGGCTATGGACTTCATTCGTTTAATCCCAGGATGACCAAGATGGAACTGTCTCAGCACTTTTGCACGAAGGGATGCTGGCACCACTACTCTTTCACCAAACATCAGACAATCGTTGACGATGCATAGTGACTCCCGCCGCTGATACAGTTGCTTCATGTCACCTTCAAACTTTTTCGACGGCCACCCGTTAGTGACATATTTCATCGTCATCTTGATGATGGGGTCGTTTCTAGAAGCATTTTGTATGTCTGTTGCAGACACCGGTAATGCACGAACTGCGGTTGTCAGATAACATTCTGCGTGGTCTTCTAGGTCATGTCGTTGTGATACCAGGTTGCATATGGTATTTAGCGGGACATCAGCCAATTTTAGCTGGTCGAACCAATCTAAACCAAGTAAATTTAGATCAGCTGGCGTTATATAGCATACCCCAGTAAACGACGAATCTCGGAAAGCAACTTTACATTCCAATTGTCCTAACAGACGAAGATAATTACCACATGCTGTACGAGGCTTTTGTGTTGTGTGCTGCAGGCTTGGGCTGCCCAATTTGGTCCAATTTTTGCGTGAGAGGATAGTGATATCAGATGCAGTATCTATTTGCATTCTACACAAATAACTGTTAATATTAAGAGTAATAAATTTCCTCTCACCTGGTGATGAGCTTTGGCAGGAAGATATTAGGCTCAATGCATTGGTACTGGATCTAGGAACAGGCTTCTTAGCACTTCTGGATCGCTTTGGCTTTTTCTGTAGGCAAAAGCCATCTTTATGACCGATGACTTTACACTTCCTGCATCTATGCTGCCTAAATGGGAAGTTCCGTACATAGTGCCATGAACCGCAGTGCCAGCAAGCAGAAGGTGGATTCATTTTGGGTTTTTGGGCCGAATTGGAATTTTTCTTTTCACTAATGGAATGCACGTATGATGAGAGGCCCTTGTTTTCGACCATGGAGGTATCATGCTTCAAGTTTACTAATCTCTGGCACTCTGCAGTTATTTCTTGAAGCGAGATGTTTGGGCACTGTTCAATTTTACTTAGGATTCTGGTTCTTATATCAGCATCGTCGGGAGATTGTAAGCTGCACACAAACACAAGGCACTTAAACTGATCTTCCGTCATTGATGATAATTTAAATCGTTCGCATTCACGATTTACTAAGCCAGCATGCTTTACCCAGTCATCTTCATTTGACTTGATTATTTTGAGGCATTGATAACGAATATTAAAGAGAGATGACTGTTCAGAGAAGATTTGCGACAGCGTATCAATTGTAGCATCAAAAGAGAAATCTCGTGGGTTCTTTGGGAGGATGAAATTACTATAACGTTCGTGTTCGATTGTGCCGAGCTTTCTCAAAAGGATTCTGACTTTGGTGGCGTCATCAAGATTGTTGAGGTCGACCTTGAACAAATCCTCATACTTCTTAAACCAAGACTCGAAAGTCACACCAGCAAGGCCATCAAAATGAAATTCATGAATGGAATTAACTATCGAGTCTGTATGCGGATTATATGAATCATCGGCAAAACCTCTGTGATTCAAATTCATTTGTTTCATTAACAGCTCCAACATACGTTCCTGGAACTGTTCATATCGTTTGCCTTGACGTTCCAGTAAAGATTCTAACTGTTCAAGATTAATTGACATTGTGAATTATGAGCCCCGTCGCCACTGATAAGTTCGGCACTTGGGATGCTTGAGGCTATTACGAGTTACCTTAGTCGATAAACGCGAACGAGACTTTTACCAGCTTCCAGGAAGGCTACCCTGAATCCCAGAATCGAAACAGAAGACTTTGTAGGCGTAGAAAGCATATTCTACAAGCACCCAGCAATCCCAGTACAATCAAGCATACAACTCTCGTTTATTTATACAACATAACAACGTCCTTGAGATAGTTAAGAAAATAGCATACTAAAATACACTGTAGCCAATCACAGCCATGGATTTTCCTGGTGGGAATTGAAATCTCAAGGTCATTTGATCAGCCCCTGCTGGCGAACGTGAAAACCGAAATACGGTATTATCAAGCGAATTTTGGGGATCTAACTTCCCCAACAGTATTTTAGTGTGCTATTTTCTTAACTGTCCCACTAGGACGTTTCTATGATGTATAAATGAACGAGAGTTGTGTGCTTGATTGTATTGTGTGATTGCTGGGTGTTTCTACAATATACTTTCTACGCTTACAAAGCCTTTTTTCTTCAGCTTAGGACGCTGGTTCATTGTCTCGTTCGCGTTTATCGACTAAGGTAAACTCGTAATAGTAGCCTCAAGCATACTTAGTGACGAGAGTAACAATTTAAAAGTATCGATAGAAGCAAGTTTCACGCATTACAATCTCCTGACATATTTATTCTAAGATGACTGACTGACTTAATTTCGGTTTTGTCCAATATTAAGTATCGTTTCTCAGATCAATATACTACTTTTTTGTGGTTTCTTTTGACTTTTTAATGTATTCAGTGAGATACATTCAGTTTACCGCGGCGAATACGCTTTTAACTTTTTTTTGCGTACTTCACTCTCATAAATAAGTTAATTTTAGCAATCACATTTTTGTATCATTCTAAAAAAATTTATCGTATACAACATAATTCTAAAATTAAAATCACAATACAATTTATCAAGAGACACCACTGAACAGTTAATTTTTGTACAAACGGAAGTTATTTTTTTCATTGAATTGAAAGCAAATATTCCTTTTCCTTGTGAAAAACTGACTGCTCATATCTCGTATTTAAACTAGAAATTCATGTTAAATATAAATTTGTCTGTTTATCGGAAGAGAAAATCAAGGAAAGTATTCATTCGTTTTGTGGTTTAGTTTATGAAAATCAATACAGATTGTTTAGCGGCAACATTAGAAATCTTAAAGTAACTGTTAGGTTCGTCACTAGGTATGCTTGAAGCTAATACGAGTTAGTTCACCTTAGTCGATAAACGCGATCGAGACAATGAATCAGCGTCCAGGTAGGCTACCTTGAATCCCCAAATAGAGTGAAAAGGCTTTGTAAGTGTAGAAAGTGTATTCTACAAACACCCAGCAATCACACAATACAATCAAGCATACAACTCTCGTTTATTTATACAACATAAGAACGTCCTAGTGGGACAGTTAAGAAAATAGCACACTAAAATACACAGCAGCCGATCACAGCCATGGATTTTGCTGGTGGGAAATGAAATCTCACAGTCAACTGATCAGCTCATGCTCGTAAACGTGAAAACCCGAATCGGGGCATTTTTCAAGCGAGTTCTAGGGATCTAACATCCCCAACAGTAACAGACCAATATTTCATGCTGTAATTAAACTCTTGAATTCAACATAATAATGGAGTCTAAGACCATCAGGCTCCACTATCAGGTTGCTTTGTTATAAGTTATTGGATCCACATTCGCATTTTCATCATCCGACTCGCAATATACCTTCATGATTGTTCAATCTCATCGAAGAGGATGGGATAATCGCTGATATGACTGAACTCTATCTAGCATGACTTACGAATAAACTTTTCAAAATACATTACGACAGAAGTCATCAATTTACGAATGTTTGTAGTTTGATAGAGGGATTTGTATGAAATAGAATAGTTCATAAGTGCCATCCTTGTTCTTAATCAACAATGATAAATTGACTATTTCCGCAATTAAAGATAGGGGGTTTAAGTGTTACTGTTGGGGACGTTAGATCCCCAGCACACACTTGGAAAAGGTCCTGATTTTGGATTTTGTGTTTTCGAGCATGGGCTGATCAGTTGACCTTGAGATCACATTTCCCACCAGGATGGTTGATGTATTATTTTAGTACGCTATTTTGGTGGCTCTCCCAAAGACATTTATATCATCTATCAATAAACTCAATTTGTGTGCTTGTGGATCTCATATTTTCTGTGTGCATGTAGAATACACTTTCTAGGTCTTAACAAGACTTCTTCCTTTACTTACTTACGCTCAGATTAGAGTAGCCTATCGTGTCTCTGAATCATGTTGTCTTCACTCTCGTTTACCGACCAAGCATATCATTTGACGAGCATAAAAGTTACCGTGTGTGTGAAACCTGAAGATCCTGGATTCCGGAGCAATGTTTATATTCATAAAGTCATTATTACCTGTTACTCGTGTGATTTAGGTAGCCAAATGAACAATGTATGTCAATTGGAAGTTTCATATTTACCTTCAGCGGCTTCGTGATATACGACTTACAGACAGAAAATTTGGTAACTGTAAGCTGTTAGACAAGCAAGGTGGAATAGTTACCACAGTACATAAACATCAGTGCTGCTTAGTTGTCAATCAATCACACTGTGTGATAGTTATATAGTTTAAACTTCATGTTAGCAATAAATAAGTTTGCATAGGTCAACAATAAAGTGTAAGTAGCAGCCTCAGTTAAATATTCCTTTTAGACTAAGAGATCATCGAATAGGAAACAATGTTATATTGTTTAGTTTTCTGGGTTAACAGAGTCGCCTCATCAGTTCCTAGTTTAAGTGACTTGACATTTGTAGCTGTTAGGATATTCATCCAATATCCTAAGAGAATTATTGGTCAAATCCTATTGGTCGATTTCTGTTGGTCAAAATTATGGTCGTTTTAACTGTCAAAGTCAAATACTTCAATGTTGTCTCTTATTGGTCATCCGGACTGTCAATGTCATTTCAATTGTTCATTCTTATTGGTTGTCCTGACTATCAGTGTCACTTCAAATGTTACTTCCTATTGGTCGTCTTAACTGTCAATGCCATAGAATTCGATGCTGTTTCCTATTCGACCCAAACGTATAAATACGCATTATCTGAAACGTTTTATGACCAGCACCAGGACCCGGTCCCGGATCCCTAATCCGGGATCCTGTTTCTCTTCTGGATTCGGACCTCGTTTTTTCTGGATGCTTGTAGAATACAGATTCTACTTCATATCATGTCTTCTTATTTTCACTCAATATGGGGGTTGGGATAATCGGATTATGAGTCTCATGTCGTGTCACCGGATCCTCGATCCTCGCTCTCGTTTTTCCGACTAGGTAAACTCGTAATAGTTCAAGTATATCAAGTTGACGTGTTTACGTGCAGGCGTAACAGTAGCGTACTTCACTTAACTTTATGTAAATTGAACGAAATCAGTAGAAAGCATTAGACCAATATTTTTCTCCAGTTGATGCTTGTCAAACAGAAGAATTGGGATTCAATTCACTTGTAGTCTAAGTTGTTCAGTGTAAATATCTCTGACTAAGGATCGACCGTGTACTGACCGAATCGCTACATTACGGATCATTGTGGAACAATCAGTTGAATAGAACTCACCAATCTACATCAACTTCATCGACTACGTGAAAGCATTCGATAGTGTGGATGGGAAAACACTGTGGAGGCTTCTTCAACACTACGGTGTGACTGAGAAAATACTCAACATCATACGGAATTCTTATGATGGATTCAACTGCAAGATCGTACACGAATCACACCTAACAGATTCTTTCGAGGTGAATACCAGTGTCAGGCAAGGTTGCTTACTCTAACCCTTTCTCTTTCTCCTGGTCATCGACTGCATTATGAAGATGTCAACATCTGGAGGGAAGCACAGTATAAAATGGACAGTTAGGACGCAGCTGACTGATTTGTAGTTCGCAGATGACCTGGCTCTTCTATCTCACACGCAACAACAAATGCAAGAGAAGACGACCAGTGTAGCAGCAGCCTCTGCAGCAGTAGGTCTCAACATACATAAAGGAAAAAGAAAAATTCTCCGATGCAACACAACATGCACCAACCAAATCACTCTTGATCGAGATGCCTTGGAAGACGTTAACACCTTTACATATCTGGGCAGCATCATCGACAATCAAGGTGGATCCGATGTAGATGTGAGGGCGCGGATTGGCAAAGCCAGCGCTGCATTTCTACAGTTGAAAAATATCTGTAACTCCAAACAACTTTCAACCAAAATCAGCATTTTCAATACAAATGTCCAGACAGTTCTACTGTATGGAGTGGAAACTTGGAGAACTACGAAAGCCATCATCCACAAGATACAAGTGTTTATGAACAGTTGTCTACACAAAATACTTCGGATTCGTTGGCCAGACACCATCAGCAACAACGAACTGTGGGAGAGAACAAACCGGATTCCAGTGGATGAGGAAATCAGGAAGAAGCGGTGGAGTTGGTGGATAGGACACACACTACGAAAAGCACCTAACTGCGTCACGAGACAAACTCTCACATGGAACCCTCAATATCAAATGAAAAGAGGAAGGCGAAGGAAAACACATCACGCCAAGAAATAGAGAAAGATATGAGAGGAATGAACAAACATTGGACAGAACTGGAGACGGAAGCGCAGAACAGAGTTGGTTGGTGAAAACTGGTTGTGGGTAACAGGCGTAAGTAAGTAGCAAATAAGACACTACTGATAACAAGATGTCAAATGACACTTGAAACATTCGCTTCTTATAAGATCATCATAGATTTGTTTAGCTGTGATAGGTACTTTACTGATATCCATAGTTAAGTGTAATTTTTTTAGTTCAAACTGTATAACAAACACTGACACATCATAAATAATACTTAAAATTTACCTGAAATGTTGAATTATCCCAATAAGTATAAACATAAATATTTGGTACACATTCGATAAAACAAACAAATGATATACTAATAAATGTTGTAGTCAATATATACCATAGAATTTGCCAACTTAATTGTTTTAATTGTTCACTATGCGGTTTATGTGTAACATTCTTCCATTTCCAATCATGTTTTTTTTTACACATACACAGACGTTTCAATGTCCAATGAAATTTATTTCGATGAATTTGTTGTATACTACTACTATCTTGTATTGTTGAATTAGTGAAATTCAACACTGGAACTTCTAATTTAATTGAAGAGATACTAAGTTTATTTGTTGTATTTAGTTGTGTCGGTGTATCGTTATTATTGAAATCATTTGGACGATTAATTGACTGTTGTTGATGTTGCTGATGTGGTTGTGGCGGTTGTTGTGGCGGTGTTTTTCCTGTGCTTGTTGTGTTCACTGTAATTTGATTATTTGGTAAACTATATCTGGATAAAACAGAGTCCAACTTTTCACTAGATTGATTATCTTTATGACGATAATGTAATTTCGGTGTTTTTAATCGAATTGGAGGTAGTTTAAAACAGGAACAATCGTGCTAAATGAAAATAAATGAAGATAGAGTGAAGAATTAAAACAAAAGTTTAGTTAGGTGCACGAAATTTGTTTTTAAAAAATGGCGATGCATTCAGATACTTCTCAATAAAAAAAAATTTATCATATACAGTTATAATGAGCTTTTACTTAGTTTTAAAAAGGACTCATATTTTGACCATTTACATGGCAGGTTCAAGTAAGTCAGTCAGTCAGTTAGTCAGATGCAATGTAGAACTTCATAAGTATGTACATCAGTTCATGTTGCCATACCACATTAGCACACAGATATCATTGTCAATTCAAATCCAATAGTAGAAGAGGTAGTAAAGGTATTAGAAGTAATCGGAGAGGTTAGGATTAGAAGATATTATTCAAAAAGTATGATGATTCAGTGAGAAAAGTTTAGAAAGTCAAAACTAGAGGTGTTGAAGAATCCAGAAGATTAGGATTTGAGAGAATACAAAGAATAAATGCACCGGCGCCATTGCAAACGGTTTTGAACCATATCATTCAGGGTCTCTAACCATCCATTATTATCATCTCGCGGACCCCAACAAGGTAGTCCACAACTACCGATATGGCTAAGTCCATTCGTCAATGACTTCATGGATTTCTGCCATGTTTTGGTTTGGCTGCCCCTAACTTTCTTCCAACCTATTCCTACACTACAAAACAAAGCTCTTCAAGGCAGTCGGTGGTTAGGCATACGCAACACAAGTCTCAAGTAAGTGATTAGTGAATTTCATTTGGGCAACCAATTGATACTACTCAACTTCATACAAACTGTCTAGCTTTAAGATCAGTAAATAATTGTACACATGATAAATGTACTCATAGAGCATTTATACCCTTGTTGATAGATAGTGTTGTGCACAAAAACTCAGGTGAGGAAATCAACATATATATATTTAAGCGAATACCTCAGAGTTGTTAAGCATATGTACAAAACCTTACCGTGAATCATCATTTACAAACTAATCCTTATTTGTTTCAGATTTCAGTGTTCTTTCATTTAGACTGTTCAGAATTTAGTTCACTTTACATTACCTACAAATCGCCTTCTGTTCTCTCATTCTTTCCTTCTCGATCTTTTGCTGTCAGACGTTTGATTTCCCTTTTTGATATCATATACTACTTATGTGAACATAAGTAGCTTGCAGCACAATAGTACTGATAACTGATGAAATATATGTGAAATGTAAAAGATTTAACGTCAGTTTCTTTCAATAAATTGTTATGGCTTTACGCTGACCAATATACAACAGGCGAATTTCGAGTGACGAAGACGAGGCACTTACTAATCTATGTTTGAAGAATGGCCCAATACAAACTTGTTCAACCGAAGAGGAAGAACAAAGACTAGCGATCATTAGTTCAAGATTTTGTCATTATATTTCAAATATTCCTTTATATACACACAAAAACAGACCAGACTGCACTAACAAATTCAGATTAACAATTATACATGAATGAACCAACGGTGATTGTGACTAAGGGGAGACTGAGATTAGTAAACTAGCAACAGATTTAGAATACTAAATCATATAGTCAAGACATCAGGATACAGGGATTTTAAATAAATAATAATCTAGTTACGCATGGAAATCATGAACCAATCATTGTTTAACTGTTTCGTCCTGGTATGGGACTCATTAGCAGTGTGCATCCACGATTTCTGCTACTGGCAGGATTTGAACCCTCGGTCTTGCGCATGAACGCTTATGTAGTGCCTCCACATATATTCCAGTTCGATTACATTTAATTTGGTTAAGCCCTTTCGATCAATTTATTATTTAACCAAGCCATTTGTATTACAACAATTTATATGTACCCATTCGTTCTTATTGTTGTCTGGTTTGTATGAGCTCACATGACGTGTTCCACTTGTCATTTGACCTTGTCAATCATTCGTCGCTTTTATTCATGTGTGCCTATTTCGCTTGTCACATGTCTGTCTTATTATATTTGTCTGACTATATTATTCTTAGTCATGCTCTATCTCTTGGAATTAGCTCATTAGCCTTCTCCACATAGCTTCTCCGCTTCGCTTTGTGGTGTGTTCCAAATAAACGTATTCATCACTATGAGTTCACCTTCTGATTTTTAAACCGTCAGACGCTATTTAGTAACGATTGTCTGGAACGAGCTAATTACCGAGCTTAAGAACATGCAGTAAATCAGCAAACTACACCTAACTTTTGGACCACTGTGTCGGCATCCAATAGTATTAATATCTAACTCTGATCAATCTAGGGATTTTGCGCGCTGAGCAATATTCAATCATACCTGACAATAATAAACGCCAGTGGTACTGTAGTGAATGAGAACACAGGTGGAGCAACCGACTTGTATTTAACGAAAATTACAGAGTTACTCAGTAAAATAGGAAAACCATATCGTAAATCGTTCATTTGCAAAAGATCAGTTCATCCTATGGAACTGGACTGTTCCTGTTACCAAACATCAATCCATTGTCACTATACATGCGTTTGATACAAATTCCATTGTTTTCTAACTCTTCCTTTCTTGATCTTCCACACATATTATGCTACCAGACTTTACGTTGACACTCACGTTATATACTACTTATAAGTAGTTCGCACCAAAGCACCACAGTACTACTACGTATAAGTCATTGCTATCAGAATAACTCAGTTAAACAAGTTAATCAAAACGAGCTTAAACAAATTCAATATGAGCAAACTCAAATGTGTATGTGGAGCTACTACATGCTGTTCTGTCATCTACATAGACAAGGCTACGAAGAAATCTATGAACAAGTACTTAATAACTTGTGATAAACAACGTGACAGCCTAATGAAAAAATGCACATTAGCTCGAGTTACCGAGCTAACATCATCGCAACGAGAAACGCTTATCAAGATGAATATAAGCTGAAAATCTATTCTTACATATGGGAGAGAACAAACCAGATTCCTTCAGTGGAGGAGGAAATCAGGAAGGAGTGGTGGAAGTGGATAGGACACACACTACGAAAAGCATCTAATTGCGTCATAAAACAAGCTGTTACTTGGAACCCTGAAGGCAAAAGGAAAAGAGGAAGGCCGAGGAACACATTACTTCCGAGAAATAGAGAAAGATAAGAGAAGAATGAACAAACATTGGACAGAACTGGAGAGAGAAGCCCAGTACAGACAGAGTCGGTTGGAGAAAACTGGTGGGCGGCCTATACTCCATTGGGGGTAACAGGCGTAAGTAAGTAATACGAATAACTCTGTAGTGAAGGAGAACACATGTGAGACCAACCGAATTGTATTTAACGAAAATTACAGAGTTACTCAGTAAAATGGGAAAACCATATCGCAAACGGTTAATTTGCAAAAGATCAATCCATCATTGTCTGAAATTTCACTATTCATGCGTTTCATACAAATTCCATTGTTCCCACTCTTCCTTTCTTGATCTTACCCCATATTCTGCTGCCAGACATTGCGTTTACACACGCGTCATATACTACTTATAAGTAGCGCGCACCACACTCAGTTAAATACGTTGATCAAAAGAGCTTAACCAAAATTCAATATGAACAAACTCAAATGTGTATGTGGAATTACGACAGGCCGTTCTGTCATCTACATAGACAAGGCTTCAAAGAGATCTATGAACAAGTGATGATCAACGTGATAGCCTAATGAAAAATGCACATTGGCTCAAGTTACACAGCCACATCATCGCAACAAGATCAATATAAGCTGATAAACTATTGTTCCATATGTTGCTTGAATTCAGGAGAGATTATTTTTGAATGAATCGATAAGAGTTTAGCTAATGATAACTAATGATAGTAGGAATGAACCGAAATCAAATAAAAAAAAGATTCCCATAAAACAACTTACCGTTGGTGCAACTAAATCATCCAATTGTATGTGATCTAAACAAGTGTCACTTGTTAAAAATGAACCATTTTCTAATTGAAGAGATAATGAAGAATGTGTCGGATTCAAATGACTATCTAAAGGAAAAAAAATAATTATCAAAAAAAATAAATTTCAACTGATTTAGCATTGAAAGATAATTGTTATCGACATTAATATAGTGTGGTGCTGTAGTGCGAACTACTTATAAGTAGTATATGACGTGAGTGTCAACGTAATGTCTGGCAGCAGAAGATCAAGGGGAAGATCAAGAAAGGAAGAGTTAGAAGAACACAATGGAATTTGTATGAAACACATGAATAGTGACAATGGATTGATGTTTTGCAACAGGAACAGTCCAGTTCGATATGATGAACTGATATTTTGCAAATGAACGATTTACGATATGGTTTTCCTATTTTACTGAGTAACTCTGTAATTTTCGTTAAATACAATTCGGTTGACCCACCTGTGTTCTCGTTCACTATAATAGTACATTAAATATATGCTTGGTTAACCGACAAGCCCGCTGCACATGCACATTGCTGCTTTTTAGGCGGCAACACAAGGATTTTAACTGTCGCTAACAGTAATCACCCCTGCCCCAATAGGGGAACATACATGTTGTCAAGTTTGGTCTGCAAGCAGGTCGGACGTCCAAAAAGCACACGCACACGAACAGTGGCCCCCGTTCGGGCACATATGAATCAACAAGATTCCTCAACCAATTCACTACCCAAAATCCCCAGTCGGCATGAGCGGCATGGCGGGCTTACCCAGCTAGACCTGGCACCCTGAACGGATTACTGAGCCACTCAGCAGTGCACTAACCAACAGCCTTTCCAACCGTCTGGCCTCCAACTGCCGGAGTCCTCAGAACCCTATGAAGCTGAAGGTCAAGTTTGTCCCACAATGTCAGTCGGAACGTACACACTCCCATGAGGAAGATGTCATGGACTCAACCAAGTGCAAGCACTCAGCCAAGCAGGGTTAATCCCACAGAAGTGGGCAGACATCATTGGCGTTCAGTACCCTTGGGCACCGGATCACATAACACAACTGGAGATCCTTGTTTAAGGGGCCTCGACACCAGTTTACACAATACACCGAGATGCACAGTGTTTGGGACAACCATATAGGGTCGGCGTCAGTAGTCCAGGGTGTCTACGGCTGATTCCCCAAACAGAACGTCTAGGGCCGCTTCCAAGAAAGCTGGAAAGCTACATCCCTTTCAAGGTATTCGCTATTACGGAATGATAGAGGACAAGTCCTCAAACCATTATATCAATTCACCTACGCTCAGAAGACGGGATTCAGATTTGAAGGCATTTCAGTCCTAATCCCCCAGAGTGGCCAACCGCATCCACAACCTTGCGTCCATGAACACGTACCATTATTCTGGACCATGCTAGGCAAGGTATCCTAAGCGTTCGGAACGGCGTTTAGCCACAGCTCTGTAAACAACGCCTCGTTGCCTGGCAGGACCACGAAGAGGTAGCCGCCACCACACCGCCCCAGAAGGCTCCACTTATGCGCGTCACTTAATATACACACTCAATTAGATTACGAGGCATTTGGCTACCTTAAAAGAGTCATAGTTACAGTAATATATACATAACCTCACTTACATGGAAAAAATTCTACTGCGTGAAGAATATTCGTCAAACGTAGACGTTTCATTTATTGAAAAGTGTGTATATTTCGTTGTTATACTCGAAAATCAGCTAAAAAAAATAGTCATCATTTCTAACTTTTGACATTCTTAAAACAACATCCACTAATAAGTTTACTGAAACTATTTAAAATCTCAGTGCTCTTCAACTGATAGACAGATAGATATTTTTGTGTATGGTAGATTGAATTTGACTATGTTGAACTATCAATTTTAGATCGAGTGTCTGTCTAGTATAATCAACAAACTATAATTGTTGCTAGTCGAGAAACTCACTGATCATCTGTAACTATACCCTTGCCTGACCTTAAAAAATGTCACGAATTTACCTTGAATGTATTATGTTATTCCTATTTTGGTAAGAAGAAATTCGCTTTACTATTTCAGCTATACCAATCGTTGACCGGTGTCAGGCAAGGTTGCTTACTCTCACACTTTCTCTTTCTCCTGGTCATCGACTGGATTATGAAGACTTCGACATCTGGAGGGAAGCACGGTATCAACTGGACAGTTAGGACGCAGCTGACTGATTTGTAGTTCGCAAATGACCTGCCTCTTCTATCGCACACACAACAACAAATGCAAGAGAAGAAGACCAGTGTAGCAGCAGCCTGTGCAACAGTAGGTCTCAACATACATAAAGGAAAAAGCGAAATTCTCCGATGCAACACAACATCCGTCAACCGAATCACTGTTGATGGAGATGCCTTGGAAGACGTTAACACCTTTACATATCTGGAAAACATCATCGACGAGAAAGGTGGATTCGATGCAGATATGAGGGTGCGGATCGGCGAAGCAGTTGAAAAATATCTGGAACTCTAAGCAACTTTCAACCAAAACCAAAATCAGGATTTTCAATACAAATGTCAAGACAGTTCTACTGTATGGAGTGGAAACATGGAGAACTACCAAAGCCATCATCCATAAGATACAAGTGTTTATTAACAGTTGTCTTCGCAAAATACTTCGGATTCGTTGACCAGACACCATCAGCAACAACGAACTATGGGAGAGAACAAACCAGATTCCTTCAGTGGAGGAGGAAATCAGGAAGAAGCGGTGGAAGTGGATGGGACACACACTACGAAAAGCACCTAACTACGTCACAAGACAAACCCTCACATGGAATCCTCAAGGCAAAAGGAAAAGAGGAAGGCCAAAGAACACATTACGCCGAGAAACAGAGAAAGATATGAGAAGAATGAACAAACATTGGACAGAAGTGGAGAGGGAAGCCTAGGACAGAGTTGTTTGGAGGAAACTGGTGGGTGGCCTATACTCCATTGTGGGTAACAGGCGTAAGTAAGTAAGTATGTATGTAAGTAATACCGATCCTTGCATTGTATATCTTCAGTTGTAAAATAAATAGTCATAAATATTATATTATGCTTGAACTCAACTCGAGTAATACTTTAAGTCAAAAGAAAAGAAAATCATATCATGTTTGAAATTTATTGATCTATTCAAATTATATATTAAGATGAGCGAGTTTGAGTTTTAGATTGAAGTAAAGTCTACCTGCATATATACATAAAGACGACCTATTAAAATGTATCATAATTTATAAAGTTCAATAAGCCATTAACTAGAATTGAACTGATAGATGTGAAGTGAAGCAGACACACAGACAGATGCAACGCAGAAATCCATACGTAAGTACATCAGTTCAGGTTGACATGCTACATCAGCACAGTGACTCAACTGTCAGTTCAAATCCAAGAGTGATAGCAATAATAGAAGTATTAGCAGTAATGGAGAAGATTACGGAACGAAGATATGATTCGAGAAGTATAATTCAGTAAGATAAATTATGAAGGAGAAAGGTAGAGATTATGAGGAATGCAGAAGCTTAGAATTTCATAGAACACAAAGGGTGAATGCACCTGCGCCATTGCAAACGATTCTGAGCCATGTCATTTAAGGTCTCTAACCATCGGTGACTATCGTCTCGTGGACCCCAACCAGGTAGTCTACATCTACCAACATGACTCAGTCCACTTGTCAGTAACTTCATGGATTTGTGCCATGTTTTGGTTTGGCCGCCCCTAGCTTTCTTCCAATCTACTCCTACACCACAAAACATAGCTCGTCGAGGCAGTCGGTGGTTAGGCATACGTAACACATGTCCTAACCACCTCAACTGATGAAGTTTCACTACTTCATCTATTGATTTGCCATCCCTACCTAGAACTCGTTCCCTAACGACAGCATTGCTTACTCGGTTGTCCCATGATACACGAGCAATGCTTCGGAGACATCGATGATCGAAGACTAGTAACCTACGAAAGTCCTCTACTCTTAACGGCCAAGTCTCGCATCCGTACAATAGGACGGAGTGAAGAAACAAATTATTAGTTAACTGATCGGTCATTCTATTTGAAAAGGGATCAATTAATAGTAGTTATCAAGTCAATTTTTAACACATAATTATGGTTTTATGAACAATATCAGTAAAATAGGGGTGATCAATGTTTTCCTTTTTCGCAACTGTTCTAACAGTCATGTACTAGATAACTAAAGAAAATTCGAAATTTCTGAATATTTTTGATGTGTTCAAGGCTATAAGTGTTTTAGAACAAGGTTAGAAGCAAGCATCCAAACTCTTATTGTATCATTTTCGAGACTTATGATCCGGTCAAACTTGCATCGCAGTAATGATGTCCTCTCATTAAGAATCGAATCTAGTAACTTTATCTCCTAATGATACATCCGAATTGGGATGAAACGCTCATCTGGAATTTCACTGTTATGCAAACAATCCTCATTCAAATACTGTTCAAAATACTTGAATTTCTAATTTACGGATTTAACAGTTTTGAATTTAAGAATCGATCAATGTTAGACCACAATTAGAAGCCTGGAAGTACTGGACGGACATTTCGTCCTGATATGGGACCGATCAATAGTGCATATATCCACGAACCCTATGTCACAAGACCATGAATTGATCGACGTTAGACGTTAACATTGTTAGATACCGGCTCAGTGGTCCGATGGTTAGGCGCTCGCGCGTAAGACTGAAGGTACCAGGTTTGAATCCTGTGAGGTGCAGGTGCGCAGTGCTGATCAGCTTCATACCAGGATGAAACGGCTGTCCAGTGCTTCCAGGTTTCTAAATGCTGGTATAACATTGATCGATTCATGGTTTCAAATATCTTTCTAACATTCACCTGAAATATGATTTGTCCACTCGGAAAAGATTCTAATTTTGTAATTTATTCGTGAAATTTTGAATTTCTGTGTTTTCTCGACAGAGACGCTCATTTTATCCTCCCGTTAACATTTCCCACCCGGAAAAATCCTTGACTATTATTGGTTGACGAATCATTATAGTACGCTATTTTTGTGGCTCTCCCAAGGACGTTCCTATCATTGTATAAATAAGCTTGATTTGTGTGCTTAGCAACCTCGTATCTTCTGGGTGCTTTTAGAATGAATACATTCTCTTCGCCTTCGTGCATTTGTTAGAGGAGTCTAGAACAATGGATTAGAATAGCCTTATCGTTTCATTGTATCATTGATCTTCATTCCGTTTACCGACTATAAGGTGAACTTGTCATAGTTTCGAGCATATCAGAATGTGTGTGTACACTGCTTACTTCGTTAATTATACAAACCTTGTCGCGGTCCTTACATCAGTTTTTCGTCTGCCTTCAGTTGATGATAAGAGTAGTCGACAAGGTGTACAAGATTTGTACAAATTCCTTATTCAATTTTTTATTTCAGTCGTTGACTAAAATAAATGGAGAATCGTTGAATATCAGCTCATATTGAGTTAGAATAAATACTAATACAAAGAAAATCATCCTCATCTAATTTAATTGACAAAAATAGACCTCTAGGTATAACAAACAAAAAATACATTGTAATCAACATAAGGAGTTTAGAAAAGCTGTCTATCACTCCAAAAAAAACTGATGAACATAGTTGAAAAGTTCAATTTTGTTCAATGTAGCAGGAGTAAGCTAAGAAGGATTGATTGATTGATTGATTAAAAAATTAATGCTCATATTAAATTAAAGATTAATAAAGTAGATAAAATAAGAATTTGTAATACAGGGTTGTTGTGAAGATTGTTAAGTTTTATTTGAAACCATGAAACGACCAATGTTAGACCACCATTAGAAACCTGGAAGCACTGGACAGCAGTTTCGTCCTGGTATGAAGCTGATCAGCACTGCGCATCCACGACTCCTGCACCTCACAGGATTCAAACCTGGGACCTTCAGTCTTATGCGCGAACGCCTAACCTCAGGACCACTGAGCCGGTATCTAACGATGTTAACGTCTAACGTCGATCAATTCACGGTCTTGTGACATAGGGTTCGTGGATATTCGCTGTTGATCAGTCCCGTACCAAGGACGAAACGACAGTTCAGTGCTTCCAGGTTTGTAATACTGGTCTAACATTGATTGATTCATAACTTCAAATGTGTAAATTAACTTATGATCAACAAAATTTATTTTACAATTATCTGTCAAAATAAAAAATCATAAATGGATACATTTTGTAAGTTCAAAAATGTTAACTCCGTAAATTAGAAATTAAAGTATTTTGAACAATAAGTAAGTGATGATTGTTTGTCTAACAGTGAAATTCCAAACGAGCATTTCATCCCATTCCGGATGTATCATTAACAATTTTGATTAAATCATTATTTGTCAAACGGCGGAAAAGGCTGCAAGAGACGGAAACTTGAGACAATTGTATGAAACTACAAAGAAGCTCGCCGGGAACTATCGTAAACCAGAACGACCAGTGAAAAGTAAGGAAGGCAAAGTAATCAGCAACACTGAACAACAGCGAAATAGGTGGATAGAGCACTTTAAGGAACTATTGAATCGACCAGCTCCACTGAACCCACCCAACATCGAAGCAGCATCCAAGGACCTCCCAATTAATATTGGCGCACCTACGATTGAGGAGATCAGTATGGCCATCAGACAAATCAAGAGCGGCAAAGCAGCAGGACCAGACAACATTCCAGCAGAGGCAATGAAAGCA